GTCCCCATGGCGCTCAAGTCCACACTACCACAACCGCTTTTCATCGTCTCCAATGGAATATTTATAAGTGACTCCACCGTGTTCTTCGCTAATTCTTCGTTTACTGCACCTGCTGCCATCGATATTGCCGTTTCCTCCTAGAGCGTGCAGTTTGTGAGCTGCTCTATTTGCACAGCGCAACATCGCCTTGTGACATCGTCTCATTGCATGGGGAACGAGGCCCGCGAAATCGTTTGGTGTGGCCCTGCCAAGGTAACCGCAGGCGGGACTCGAAATTAAATAAATCTAGGAGAAAAACCTGGAAAAGCAGTTGCGAGTAGCAGCAGCAACATAATCAATACCAGCTAACATCATCAATACCAGCTAACATCATCAATACCAGCTAACATCGTCAATACCAGCTAACATCATCAATACCAGCTAACATCATCAATACCAGCTAACATCGTCCATACCAGCTAACATCATTAATACCAGCTAACATCATCAATACCAGCTAACATCATCAATACCAGCTAACATCGTCAATACCAGCTAACATAATCAATACCAGCTAACATCGTCAATACCAGCTAACATCGTCAATACCAGCTAACATCGTCAATACCAGCTAACATAATCAATACCAGCTAATATCATCAATACCAGCTAACATCATCAATACCAGCTAACATCAATACCAGCTAACATCATCAATACCAGCTAACATCGTCAATACCAGCTAACATCATCAATACCAGCTAACATCGTCCATACCAGCTAACATCATCAATACCAGCTAACATCGTCAATACCAGCTAACATCATCAATACCAGCTAACATCATCAAAACCAGCTAACATCATCAATACCAGCTAACATCACCAATACCAGCTAACATCATCAATACCAGCTAACATCACCAATACCAGCTAACATCATCAATACCAGCTAACATCATCAATACCAGCTAACATCACCAATACCAGCTAACATCATCAATACCAGCTAACATCATCAATACCAGCTAACACCATCAATACCAGCTAACATCATCAATACCAGCTAATATCATCAATACCAGCTAACATCATCAACACCAGCTAACATCATCAATACCAGCTAACATCACCAATACCAGCTAACATCATCAATACCAGCTAACATCATCAATACCAGCTAACATCATCAATACCAGCTAACATCACCAATACCAGCTAACATCATCAATACCAGCTAACATCATCAATACCAGCTAACATCATCAATACCAGCTAACATCACCAATACCAGCTAACATCATCAATACCAGCTAACATCATCAATACCAGCTAACACCATCAATACCAGCTAACATCATCAATACCAGCTAACATCGTCAATACCAGCTAACATCATCAATACCAGCTAACATCATCAATACCAGCTAACATCATCAATACCAGCTAACATCACCAATACCAGCTAACATCATCAATACCAGCTAACATCATCAATACCAGCTAACATCATCAATACCAGCTAACATCATCAATACCAGCTAACATCATCAATACCAGCTAACATCATCAATACCAGCTAACATCATCAATACCAGCTAACATCATCAATACCAGCTAACATCGTCAATACCAGCTAACATCATCAATACCAGCTAACATCATCAATACCAGCTAACATCATCAATACCAGCTAACATCGTCAATACCAGCTAACATCGTCAATACCAGCTAACATCATCAATACCAGCTAACATCATCAATACCAGCTAACATCATCACCACGCCTCACCAAAGAGAAGCAGTTCCAGCCATCGCATTAGGGGCGAGGTCATTAAATGTTTGACTAAATATAACGGGCTAATTTTTAAGTTGATAATTTTGTATGGCCCGCGAATGATGTTATGTAAATATCCAAATGGCCCTTGGCAGAAAGAAGATTCCCCACTCCTCTACAGCCACGGGGCGCCTCAAACGGCGTGGCTACAATCAATGCTTGAAGCTCATCGCAACGAATGAAGGGCGAAATCTCTCACTCGGACGCCTTCACAGCCGCATCCGAGACCTCTCGTGGTGTTGCAGCGGGTTTCTCATGTGAACAACTGAAAATGTTATCTTCATTAGGTAATTCACGTTGAAAAAATAATTATATTTTAACTTTTTTTTAAAACACAACGAAACAATTTATAGAGAAGTATTTTTTTTAATTAGAAAAATCACTTCGATATTCTCTCGCTGCTTGATGGGGCGGCGCCCCAACGCCCCTCGTGGTGTAAGGGAGGTTTAAGTGTCCCAGTAGCGATGCCCATTGCGTTATTTATTTGTACATTTATAAATGTTGTTTGTGTACGAGCTCCCTGGACCAGGCCTGGAGCACAAGACTCTGCGACTGAGTAGATCAGTGAGAGAGCGGCAGTTTGTAGCACATCAGCTTAGGCGCCGCAGGTCATTGCTGCAACTCCCCCTACCCACACCCACACCCCCACCATCTCTCCTCCCTGGCTCCTCCACCCCCCCCCCCCCCTCTTACGTGTATATATAGCCTCGTGTCACAAGCAGCTTCCTTGTGCCAATTTCAGCAATTTGTTTTATTGCTGGGGTTGTTTCCACACCTGATGACGGGCACTTGTGTTGCGCCCGAATGGTCGCGATTTGGTTGAGTTGTTTTCATTTTTGTTTTATTGTATTTTTTTTTACCTACGTGACTTTACTGAAAGAACCAAAGAGTATGGATCCTTGCAGTCACGAAAACTTCAAATCTAGAATTTATTAAGCGAGTTTCTGAAGGTCAGGCTTCTGTCCATGATAACCCCTAGATATATATCAGAGTGGGGTCATCACGCACTGGGCTACCACAAAAAAGACGCATCAAGGGTGGCATCTGCTGTATAATTATTCGAGCGGAAAATGATTTTATCGAGTTTGGAAGGATTTGATTGGAGTCTCCAGCGACGGAAATATGCCTTAAATAAAGTTAGATCGGCTAACTTTATTTAAGGCAGTGATGAATCATTGCTCTGCCAGTTTTTTGGTAATGGAGGAAAACAGTTTTAACGAGGGTGGTGAAGGCAAGGATCTGTTGGCACTAGCTATGACCAGTTCTAAATCTGGCTTCTTTGGGAGGCAGTTGGGGCTTGATAATGGGGGAAATTCTGGCAAGCGTGGCACGTTCCATCAGCTTGGAGATGGAGGACAAGATGCATGTTGGCCTGTAGCTGGAGGGTGAGTCTTGCAGCAGCTTTCAGAATGGCGATAACTTTGGGTTACCATTTGTTGGGTGGGGGTTTTGCCCACCCTGTGTATGAAGGTGAAGGAGGTTGAAAGCCGTTGTTGTCCATGTAGTCAGTGTTTGGTCTTGTTAGATCTGTTGCCTGCAGTAAATTGACTCAAGGCGATGTTGAGTTGTTTCCGGGCAGCTTGTGTCGTGAGATTGTCGATTGGTGCCGTTGAGCAAGAAGGTGGCGACACCATTATTAAAGCTTACCCCTTGTCCAGTGTCAATTCTTTACCTCTTCCCCCACTCACCCCTCCACTCTTTCCCATCCCTCCCCTACCCTTTCATCATCCCTAAGTACCGTCTATCACTGTCACTCATTCTTAAATCCTTGTACGCCACCTGCCATCTACATCCATTCCATTCTGTCACCGTTTCGTACGCTGTGTCAAGCACCTTTGCTTGAATGCGCTCTATAAATATAAATTAGATGAGATTTTGTAACTTGCCGTTCACGTGCTAGCCTCAGTATATATCTGTTTAATGTATTTGGCCAGGGAACCACATTTAGGTTTGAGAGTCCTTCAATGTTTAGTTGGTACAGTCGAAGACCTCAAAGCATTCATATAGTGGTGCATGGCGTAGTGTAGTATTGTGGTGTGATGCAGTGGTGTGGTGGGGTGCAGTTTTGTGTAGTTGAGGGTGTAGCTTAGTGGCCTGGTTTTGTTGTGCTGTAAAGTGTTCTGTTGTGAAGTTAAATGGTGGGATAGTGGAAAGCGGCGGTGTAGTGTTGTACTGCAATGGTGTACGTGGTATAATGTTTTCATGCGGTGGTGTGGTAAAGTGATTGGTCATCGTTATGTGAGAGTGGTGAGTGTTTCATCAGTTGGTCTGGTGAGTGTGAGGGAAATGATGAGGCTGGTGGCTGGTGTCAGTTGAGTGGTGGGTGATGTCTGCTGAATTTCAGGAGAGCATTGTGTCTGGTGAGTGTCAACAAGAGTCGTGAGTGGTGAGATGCCAGTGTGTTTGGAGAGGGTAAGGTGGATGGCCGACAAGGAGTGGTATGGTGAGAGTGGTGAGGTGGCCTGGAGAGGGTCCGGTGAGTGTCTGGTGGGTTATTAGCAGTGGTGTCAGGTCAGCGGTGAGTATCAGGCGACAATGTGAGGTGTCTGGTGAGTGCTGAGAGTGCTCACCAGAGGTGGTGCTGAGTCAATGGTGGAGAAACCCGTAAGGGGAGAATATAATAGAAAGAAGGGGACTGAGTCTCCGAGGGAGATAAGATAACCCCGACTGTACGACAGGCTGCCTTCTAGTAGACTATTATAGTCAAGGCTATATCTATACAGTATAACGGTATAGACTATGTTAAAAATACAAATATGTCAAAGATTATGCTTTGGGCAATGGCCCTTCTAAGTAGCACATAAATAGAGAGGCCAGAGAGATATCGTGGTGGAGTCAGAGACCGTACTTTTTTCATGTTAAGGTGGATGACACGAGGTTTGTAGTCAACTCAACCAATCTAGTTTTGTGCATGACATGCAAATGGCTGAGGCCTCCACTACATTGGGGAAACTGTTAAATGTCTTGCCCAACTGCTTCTGTCAGCTCGTCGTGCAAACGTGCTCAAACGGGTGGCTCGTCACTTCAAGTGGGCACCATAGCCTCACCGCAGTGATGATGAAAACATTAAAACGTCGGCTTTCGCAGCCAATATTTGGGTCCATATTTGTTTTTCGGTTAGGCCACGTAGATACTAGTTAGCCATGTGTATGTGTTAATAGTATCCTTGTAAACGTAACAATCTTGTTGGGTGGTGGAGGGCTAATTATGGCATGAAATTACCATGTGGGCGAACCCACATTTTGTGACTTTGTTGCCATCCACGCGTGGCTGGAGAATTCAGGCAGAGAGCAAAGAACACCACCTTGGTGAGTGAGAAATGTCTTGCTACTCCACTTAGACTGCTGAGCAAAGCTGTTACTTTAGTTCCAATCTCCGTCCACTGTCGGGGGCATTGAACAAAAGAAGCTTCCTCCCAGGAAGTCCAAGAGCTGAGCGCCCCACCCGGGGCTGCTTCCTGCCATTGAGACGTCCAGCACACGGTTTCGCCACACTGCCAGCAGCTGCAGTCATCTACAAAGGGACATCTCAGAGGCATGCGGGATACCAAATGCTTCCACGGGAATATTTTGTGTGAAGACAGCGTAGTGCAGTTGGTAGTGATAACATGATTGGGTACATTTTGGATGTATTTGTAGTGCAATTATAGGTACATTGGCAATGGCAGTGAAATGGAATCTTCAAAAATGAGCAGTGTCCAATTTACGCTGCTCACTTTGTACACTTAACTAAATGGGAATTTGATTATGTTTATCAACGAATAAAATAGACGCACCACATTTTGAGAACAACGATTTTTGCAACCACATCCATGTAACTATCGGATATCTTAAATCGATATATTATTAATGTATTATTCTCGTCTCTGATTTCAACATATCTTTACTATGACCACCAAATTGTTTGCACCCAGGGACTCATGGCAACTGGCAGCAGCAGCAGCGGCGCTGGCAGGAGCAGTCCAAGCCAGCTCCGCCGCCTGCTGCAGGTGAGCGAGGCGAGTGCCAAACGCATGCAGGCGGTGGCTGATCTTCTGCTGTTGGCCTCCGAGATCCGGCCCGTGCTGTCAGGCCCGGCCGAGGGCCCTGGTGCCGAGGCCGCCGAGCCGCACGCGGAGCAGCTCGCGTACGAACGCTGCAGGGAGTCCATCGCACTGTGCGCCAAGAACCTGGAGATCCTCATCTTCGATGTGCAGACGCATCTCTACATGGGTCGCTACGCCCAGGTACATTATGTTATTGGATTACCTTTAGTTCTAGTGGCAAATCAATTGCTCAGTTCTTTCATATTCAGCTGTATTTGTCAATAATAGATTTTGCACAATTTCGCAGTTTCAATTAGATTGTTGCAAGCGAGTAGAAATAAAGACAGTCTCATAGTACAGTAACCACCAACCTGATCAGCTGATGTAGTTATTTGGATATTGAAGGTCAGAAACTACTGACCCCCATATTACTTTGAGTGTGTTGAGAGTTTTGATTTAAAGCTTTCGTGACTGCAGGGATTAATATTCTTGGTTCTTTTGGTAAAGTCACGTAGAAGGGAAACAATAAAATAATAAAAATATAAAACAATTCAATTCTCACGACGTTTCGACTGAAACACAAGCAATCATCATTAGGTGTGAAAACCACAGCAATAAATTTAGAAAGAAGTGGAGGTTTTTTTTATAGAAAAAACCGCCACTGCAGTCGAAACGTCGTGAGAATTTTATTGTTTTATATTTTTATTATTTTATTGTTTCCCTTCTACGTGACTTAACCGAAAGAACCAAGAATATGTGTTGAGAGTGCTTAAAACCCAGCCCAGTTGATGCATTAAGCATTTTTATTTAATGTACTTTTTAATTTTAAGTATCTCTTGTGCATAAGTTGAAATACTTTAACTTGATTAAACATATTGTACACGTAATATTGGTTGAATAATGTAAAATATAACGAAAATCAGTTTATGTACACATAGCATTCTTCAGATGCGCATTTAGATCATATATGAATGAAAATAATTATCATCACAAATGTGGCACACCTAGCATGCAGTTACTTGAAACTGAGCTTTGCCTGGCATGTATAGTGCTTGTCTGCTGGCCTATGAGAGGCATGTCACTTCTTCATGGTGGAAATACAAGTTGTCAACGACACAGACATTCGATGCACACGTGTGCTCTTGGGAGCTGCATGTCCACAACTAATGTCAAACTGCACACTTACACAGCTCGGCTAATTGATGAGTATAACGGTTAATTCATTTACAGAAATTCTGACACCTGCCGAGCATGTATTGTTTATTTTTTGTAGTATGTAGTTATGTCACATAATGCCTGCAGCCAGTGTGAATTCTCTCTGCTCATTGACAAAAAGAGAATATATTTTTGAATTGAATCGCGACCTTAAATCGTGACAATTTGTCGAATCACAAGGCAAATTATTTCCACACAGTAAATGCTTTAAAGTGTAGCAATAAAATACACTGCAAGGCCTAACCCTATGTACCGACTTTGGCACTTTTTTTATTTAAAACAATCTCAATTATTTGCTTTTGTTTCATCTAACAGTTATCACAATAATCAACACATTACGTTAAATTTTGATTTAAAGCTTTCGTGACTGCAGAGATTCATATTCTTGGTTCTTTCGGTAAAGTCACCACGTAGAAGGGAAACAATAAAATAATACACATATAAAACAATAAAATTCTCACGACGTTTCGACTGCAACACAAGCAATCATCAGCAGGTGTGAAAACCACAGCAAGAAAATTTGAAAAACGTTAACATTACGTTAACATAAGTTAAATATTTGGCTAATAGGCCTTTCAGCAGGACATGATCGGAATCAAAATCGTTATTTATCCTGGAGGAATCCGATGAGCTATGAAGCTCTTTTTCACAGAATGTCCAGTATAATGTGACAGCATAGGATAGAGATTCATGGCTTTGAGCCCGGTGATGTGAGTTGGATTCCACAGCGAACATCAATGGCGAGTGATACCTGAACTGCTTCTCATAATCGCCCTCCACTCCCCCTACACACCCTTCACCATCCTGAATGCATGGTGAGTATGGTTAAATTAACTCCCTTGGCCTCCAACCAGCTGCGGATTGACAGGAGGGCTGTTATCATAAAGGATTCACAAGAGCTCAATAACATGTCATCACCAATTAATTATTGTTACGGAATGCTTGCACTTTCATATTGGTGTTGCGAGCACAGTAAATTACTGCTAGGCATATATTTCGGGATGGCATTACACATTTGCCGTTTTTTTCTTTTTCCCCTAAATAAGTATTGGTTCAGTACACGCTCATCAGTTAAGTGTCATGCCAGTTAACACGTGTCACATTGGCGCAGGTGTGTGACAGCTTAGCCAGCACGGCTGAGCTGGTGGTGGCCTTGACCGAGCGCGCTGCGCACGCCGGCTACCTGGCTGCCACGGGCACCGCTGGCTCTCAGCCAGCGGGGCCTGGTGCCCTGGACCGCTACGGCCTGTGCCGGGCCCACTTGGAGCTGGAGCGAAGCTGGACGAGGCTCCGAGACACCCCCGTATGCGAGCTCAACTCGCGCGAGCTCATGGACGTCTCCACCAGCATTTCCAGGAACCTCAGGATGCTCTCGGAGCCCTGCCTGGCTGCCAGCGAGCAAGTGGATGAGCCTTTTGTCAGAGAGCAGCTCCGACTGGGAATTAAGTGCGTGACGTCAAGCGCCACGGCCCTCATTGCCTGCATCAGGGCTTTCAAGGAGCAGCCGGGCGAGCTGAGCCACCGGCGCTGCGTGCTCTTCGGCGCCCCTCTCCTCGAGTCCGTGCAGGCGCTGCTGGGGCTCTGCGCCGAGCCAGTCCTGCAGGGCTCTGGGGCGGTGCTGAGTCCTCAGGGCCGTGCCATTCACACGTCGGTGCTGGCTGGGGCCATGAGCGTTGTGGCCGCCTGCGTGCTGCTGTGCCGGGGAGTGCGAGGAGTGGCCCAGCAGCCCGACGGCCGGCGGCTGCCAGAGCTGCGGCACAAGCTGCAAGGCGCGGCGTGCGCGGCTTCCCACGGCTGCACGCTGCTCTTGCACGCACTGCGAGATGCCTTGCAGCCCACAAGTATGGACGCAAATGGGATCAACCTTCTGTGAAGTCAGTGGTTGGAGTAGCTCCCAACGGAAACCAATGACGCTGCTTTTTTCGTCACGTTAAACTACAACGCAGGAATTTGTAGAGCCACATGGTATCATCGCCAATGCCTCTGTAGATTTCTCTGTTAAGTAAGCACTCTTACTCTTGTAGATTTTGGGACGCCTCTCATAGAAAAGTATCAAAATGAAGAATAACAAATACTTAATGGGTGTAGGATGCATTCAGAGGATGATACACAGGAGGAGTAGAGATGCCACAGATTCATGTCCTAACATATAGTTTGAGCATTTTGTGGTAGTTGAACCCTACATTTATACATCAAATATACTAATGGCGTAAATGTCACAGTGTAAAGGTTTTGACCAAACACAACCTCCTTGGATAGAGATTGTTCTTGGCACGGCCACTGGTAAGCCAGAAAACAGGCCGAGAGGATTTGGCCGAGACGATTTGTAGGATGCTGGAGCATGGGAAGAAGCCATGCACGCAGATAACATCACACAACTCAAATCACAGATACCCAAGCAGCAGTGACGACAAAACCAAAACACGACTCTACATGTCAGGTTACACGGGCACTTGGCTACGACCAACCACACATCAGCCCACACCTATTGTATGAGGTGGCCAGAATAGAGCAAGTGGATCTGTACTCTTGTCTGTATGAATGATGACTTTTCCCCTTGCATGTGGAGCGACGCAGATTGGAGACGGTGATACTTGGAGGCACTTCTTTATTAACTAAGCACCATCGGGATATATACACACTCTACGTGGGTGTACACTATTATAATTAAGACCGTCTCTTGTCGGCGGCACTACTTATTTAGAACAGTTGGTAGGCTAAATTTTGATTTAAAGCTTTCGTGACTGCAGGGATTCATATTCTTGGTTCTTTCGGTAAAGTCACGTAGAAGGGAAACAATAAAAGAACCAAGAATATATAGTTGGTAGGCTGTCTGACTAACAGCGCCCTGGGATGGTGAAGATGGTGACGACGACGAGATGGTGACGACGATGATCTTGAAAAGCACGACGGGGATTCCACTTCCAGCAACAGCCCCGAGCTCCGGCTCAGGGCCCCCTCTTATACTCCCAGCGTGGCCTCGCTCCGCCCCGGCCACACCCCCTTTCTGGAACCTCCTAGCCGGTTCCCGGGGCTTCCCGATGGGCCCCTTCTGTGACCTTTCCCCTAGATCAGGGGTGGGTAAATTTTTTGACTCGCGGGCCACAATGGGTTCTAAAATTTGACAGAGGGGCCGGGCCAGGAACAGATGGATGGAGTGTTTGTGTGAACCAATATAAATGACATGTAAAAATCATTACATGAAAGGATTTGGCCTTTAACAGGTAGCAAAGCATTTATTTGCAAGGCAATTTAACAAATTGCACGAACATGAACAATACAAAAACATGTCGTAACGTGACTGATCAAACATCATGAAAACATCTGAGGCCTGCGCCCAAACCAATTACCTCACTTGAACTTCTTTATTGTCTACATTAACAGGTTAGAGCAGCCACGCAGGCTGAGTGTCAGAGATTTGGCTCCAACCTCGCTGCAGCAACACATCATCACTTTCAGTTTCAGTGGGAACAGTGTTGTTGATCTCCCATTTTTGCCAGTACATCCAAGTCTGGAGTTATTTTGGTTGTGGCAATTCTCAGGATAGATCTGAGGTGCTGATCCGTTAACTTTGATCTGTGACGGCCCACAATGCATTGCGAGATCATGTGCCCTTTCGAGCCCTATACACCACACTCCCGGTCAAAGTGCGCCATCTAATGGGGAAATGGGGGCATTACAGGAGAAAGGTAAAATTTCATTTAATATTAATTATATTTGGACAAGTTCGGCGGGCCGGATTAAAAAGCCCAACGGGCCGTATACGGCCCGGGGGCCGTACTTTGCCCATGTCTGGCCTAGATGTCTCCCTCTTGTATATATCGTAGCCTGCTGACGCGAGTACTGCCGTACACCGCAGTTACCCTTTGCCGCCAGCAGCTGGCGCTATACCCCTACACATGCATGGGTATTCTTTGGGTCCTCCAGTTTCCTCCGACATGCACAAACACTTTAAAAGGAACTTGCCACAAACAAGAACTATACACATTCGCACAACTACACAAGTATACAACTATACACACTCGCAAAACTACACAATTGTACACAAACACGTGTAAAGGCGTGCACAAATACATTATTGTGCTTACATGTCAAGATGTACGTGCTGGCTGTGTCGCAAAAGGTGCATTCGTGAATAAAGCGATCACGTAACATTAATATCCAAATAGGAATCCGGCAGTACTATATTGTGATACACGAATTGATATGCCAGATATTGTATTTTTATATTAATATATTGTAGGTGTAATTGCGTGATATTAACAATATTAACAGTAATACGGTGGATTAACTACCTAATGCATTTCTTTAAAGTTAACATTGACATCAAGTTTATATTATGAACACTGACAACAATGTGTATTGTAAATTAAATATTCCAAGACAATAAAATATAATTGTGTAAATCTATAACCTTCAGAGTCAAATTATATGTGATGAAAACGTTGTCTGCTCCATTAATAGCCAAGGTTGATTGAGCTCAAGATTTTTTAAAAAGATAAAATAGAATTTGCTTGAGTTTTAACCTTTGAGTGTTTTCTCAGTGTAAATTGGCATCCCCGAGTTAAAGTTAAGTCGGGCCATTTTGAAGGTCACATGAAGGTCATACGACAGTGGAGAGCCAATCACAGTTCAGCATTTCTGAAAAAACCCTTTACCCCCCCCCCTCCCCATGTAAATACCTCAAAAGCAGGTGGATTATTTAAATTCTACAATTTGACAATAGTAATTCACCATTTCCTTTCCTCTTAACTAAAGCTTGTTTGTTATATTAAGACAACAGATTGCACATTAAAATGGCTCGTGAATATTAGCTATGTAAAGTGCGTAAGTGTCATCGTATGAACATAAACACTACCATAAGTTAGCTTCTGTGTTTGTTGGAACAGTTTAAAAGCAACTAAAAATGTTGTGGTAAAGCCAGCCCCACTCACAATGCCTCCACTAGAATTTAAGTGCAGTTCCTTCTGCTTCAAGTTTCAAATGCAAAACGTGGATGCATGTGCACAGGAGACACAAGTCTGTCTACGCATACTGCATTCTTAAGCTATGACTAAATAATATTGCTAATATATTTTCTCAACTGATGGTATAAATGGGATGTGCCAGTAAATGTGATGCCACACTGAATGGTGGTGAGGTAACTCGAGAATCAGTTTGCACAGGGTTACTAATGCTATGACGACGAGCCAGAGTTTCTAAATCCTGAGTTAAGTGACTTTGATCCATCCGTACTTGTGACAGCTTGACCTTCATTTATTTTTATCTTGTTAGGTAACCTACGATTGATGTTATCATTACAATTTCAAGGCACAAATGTGTGTTTGAAACTTGAGGCTTTAAGACTTACGTTAAGCCTGGTTTTCACTGGTGGCCACCACCAAGGATCTACTATTATGAACATTCCATCTTCGGCCAGCGCCAGAAATCTATAATGAAGAAACTATAGGCAGAAGCCCCACCCCTCGAGGGAGGGGTGGGGCTTTTATCGCGTGATCCTGGAATATTCATTCGTGGACTTTAGAGCAAAACAGGAAAACTGGGGAAAATAACCCACTGCATTGACGACTACAACAAATATTCAACCAGAGCTAATTTGCCCAAATGTGTGTTTTTCTCAAACGACAGACAGATAAAACCCAAACGTTTTGGAGGGAAAGGAATCATAGGTGGTAGCCACTGGTGAGGATGACCAGAGTTTGCGTGATGGTTTATGGTCCTCGATAAGATCCACACGGTATTGTGGTTCATTTGTTGCAAAGCACTTTGTATAGAATGTATTCGTTCAACAACCGGAAGCCAATGCAGCTCGGCGAGCACCAAACGGACATGGTCATAACTTTGTAGTGCCCATTACGACACGTTCCAAAGACTTGTATACACACTGCAGCTTGATAATGTTTTTGTCAGACATCCCGTAGGGTAGCGAGTTGCAATTATCGAGACTTATCAATACTTTGCTGTCCGCCACTGTGTTGGCTCTGACGACTTAATAGTGGCTGAATATGTCGTAGAGCCCTGATATAAAAATTGCAAGACCTGACTATATTGTGCACGTGGTGATCGAACAACATACAGTATTTTGGTCGTGGCTCTTTAGATATAAATAGAAAACTCAACCCTGCAGTGTACGACCACCACACGTGATCCTCCCACAAATGTTTTCGCCTGAGCCCTAGTGCCAACCAACAGAACCTCTGATTTTCCTGGATTAAGCAGCATTTCGTTTTGTGCAAACCACACAAACGTGCGATGTTCGAGTTTACTGAGGCTATCCATATCTAACTTTGACTTCATTGCGGTGTACAATTGTGTATCAAAAGCATATCGATGGAACTCGATGTCATGCGATGAGATGATATCGGCAATCGGAGAGATATATGTTAATGGACCCTTGTGGTATGCCAACAGGGCACGACATAGGCGATGACTGTTCGTCACCCAGCTTGAAGAACTGCGATCGACCATGTAGGCATTTCTCAATCCACCCCAGTTCCATAGCCGATACACTGAACCTTGACTTTAGCCGCCCGATGAGTATCTCATGGTCGATGGTGTCGAAGGCGGCTATGAGATCGAGGCCAACCAACGCTGCAGAGCGACGGTCATCCATGATCTTGTAGAGGTCATCAATGATCTTTAGTAGAGCCATTTCAGTGGTGTGGAACTTCCATTATACCGACTGCAATGGATTGAACCTGCCCGTCGCAGCAACGTGGGGAAGAAATCGCTTCAGACAAATGTTCTCTATGACCTTTGAAATGGTATTTTTAGATCGGGTGATAGTTTGCGGGGTCACTTTGGCTCAAGACAACTTTCGTCAGAAGGGGTATTACCTGCGCTATTTTGAACCAGTCTGGGAAACAGCCCTCGCCGAACAAAATATTTTCCAGGTGAACAATCAGTAGTGCAAGCACGCCCAAGCATGATTTGAGAATCTACGTGTGGATGGAGTCAAGCGGTGGTCTTATTTGGCAGCAGTGCGATGACTATCGACACCTCTGCCACCCAAGTTGGTGCCAGGGTCTCGAGTTTTGCATTGGTTCCAGGTTGATTAACCTCAGATGACAGGCTGGAAACATGCGTTACCTTCAAGTTAAAAACTGCGTCTTGACCATATGATTTTTTTTTTATCGGCGAAGAATTTGATGGGTGATGGAGTGCAGCTGACCCTTCACGATGCGCTACGGAGCATGGGGGTCGCGAGCAGAGAATCAAAAAAAATCTGCGAGACTCAATAATGAGTCGGTTGGCATGGAGCCCGCTTATGGAGCATGCGTTGACCAATGCAACGTTACTCATTGGTTTTTTCGGTAAAGTCACGTATGTAGAAATACCATAAAATTATATTAAAATAAATCAATCACGTTTCGACCGTAACACAAGCGATCTTCATCAGGTGTAAAAAACAAATAGCGAGGGAGCATATAGGGCGACACCAACGCAACACATAGAGAGCGCCAAACTGCACGGAGGTAAATACAAGAAGAAGATGAGAGATGAGAATTCAACAAACCTAAGAAAAAATTACGTGATGCACAACCAGTCAGGCCAACAACACAGTTAGACACTTGCCTGGCGGACCACGAATTTCAGAAGAGTGCTAAATTTCGTGTTCATCCTCTGGATTGAACATACCAGCATAGACAGAGTGAACAAATATGAGGTACAAGTCAGCAGAAATACATATACAGAGACACCAAGAGGCAAGGGGAGGAAAGACGGACAGAGAAGCAAGGAAAAAGAAAAAGAGCCGGAGGGATAAACAGACAGAGGCCTTAAATAAGAAGTAGAGGTGGGGGGGGGGCCGAAGAGAGCAAGGGGGCACGGCAGCATAGGTGGGGGAGGGGTAGGAGAAGCAAGGGGTGCAATACGTTTAGGACAGGACAGAGGCCTTAAATAAAATTATTTATCAATGCAACGTTGAGGAAGCCCTGGTCCAGACTTTGGCTCGGCGCTCTTCCGCGATCGCGTGTGTGCAGGGCGGAGGAAGAGCTGACCAGATCTGCAACACAACCATGTGCAGGGCATTGCAACAAGGAACACGGTCGGGTAAGGTTGTCAGCATTTCCTCAGCAGATCGTGGTACAGTGGGTGCGAAACTCGAGCAGTTTTATGCGAGGCCGAGTCTACTGGTGAATCCCACAACAGTATCGGCGATGTTTGGGTGAGTATGGTCCGCCCATTCTCCAGGGAAGAGGGGAGACATTGCTTGCCCAAACTTCTCAGTCGGAGTATTGTGGCCATTGCTTTCACACACAAAAAAAATGCATAGGGGTCGTCCATAAATGACGTCACGCACCGGGGGGGGGTCACACATATGTGACGATGTGTGACAAGGGGGGGGGGGTTGAGAAATGTGACGTCACATAAAAATGCGCAACTTTAAATAAATATAGACAACACGTTCTGCTTAATTAGACTTTTTAATAAGTGTTTTCTCCTACAACATCAGAGTGCAGCGCCACATTAAATACACACTACTATGACAATAGTTTAAAGCGATTTGAAGCATGTTTTATTTGGGGGGGGGGCAGAGCTTTGTGACGTCATATTCGAGGGGGGGAGGGGTCTGACTTTTTGTGACGCCGTGTGACGAGGGGGGGGGGGGTCAAAAATCGTCCAAAATCGCGTGACGTCATTTATGGACGGCCCCTTACCGGCCGCAAGCAGTCGGGCAGCAGCAGAAGTCGCAGCGTCCCCATCGCAAGGTGGTGTTGCAGTTGTTGTTGTAGTTGTTGCTGCTTTTGCAGCTGTTGTTGCTGATGCTGTTGCTATTGTTGCTGCTGCTGTTGTTGATGTTGTTGCCATTGTTTCAGCTGTTGTTGCTGATGCTGTTGCTATTGTTGCTGCTGCTCTTGTTGATGTTGTTGCCATTGTTTCAGCTGTTGTTGCTGATGCTGTTGCTATTGTTGCTGCTGTTGTTGTTGATGTTGTTGCTATTTTTTCAGCTGTTGTTGCTGCTGTTGTTGTAGTTGTTGCTGCTTTTGCAGCTGTTGTTGCTGATGCTGTTGCTATTGTTGCTGCTGTTGTTGTTGATGTTGTTGCTATTTTTTCAGCTGTTGTTGTTGCTGCTGTTGCCGCTGTTGTTGTAGTTGTTGCTGCTTTTGCAGCTGTTGTTGCTGATGCTGTTGCTATTGTTGCTGCTGTTGTTGATGTTGTTGTTATTGTTTCAGCTGTTGATGCTGTTGCTATTGTCGCTGCTGCTGATGTTGTTGCTGCTGCCGTTGCTGCTGTGCCCCAAGGCAAGTTGCGTGTTGCAGAAACACGGTCAGCTCAGTGCCATGGCATCCGTGGCAACAAGCGCTGAGCTGACAGCGTAACGCGTAACGAGGCGGCTTTGCATCGTCCATGCGAACCAGTCAGTGTCAGGCAGGCGAAAGCACTGCACAAGCTAACCAGTAACCACCGGATGTAGAGACCATTTGCCGTGATCAACAAGGTTTTTCCCTGCTTAGCCAATTAGCGGTTTCTTACTTCCAGACAGATGTCTGACCATTCTACGAATCCCATGGGCCCCGGGCAAATTGAAGAGCGAGGCCTCCCTCGACGACAGCATCATGACGAGCGGACCCCTCTTCTGTTCACCGTGGCAACGGTTGTCACGTTTCATCATCATCAATGGTTGTCATGTTTCATCATCATCATCATGGTTGTCATGTTTCATCATCATCATCAATGGTTGTCATGTTTCATCATCATCATCATGGTTGCCATGTTTCATCATCATCATGGTTGTCATGTTTCATCATCATCAATGGTTGTCATGTTTCATCATCATCATCATGGTTGTTATGTTTCATCATCATCAATGGTTGTCATGTTTCATCATCATCAATGGTTGTCATGTTTCATCATCATCATGGTTGTCATGTTTCATCATCATCAATGGTTGTCATGTTTCATCATCATCATGATTGTCATGTTTCATCATCATCATGGTTGTCATGTTTAATCATCATCATGGTTGTCATGTTTCATCATCATCATGGTTGTCATGTTTCATCATCATCAATGGTTGTCATGTTTCATCATCATCATCATCAATGGTTGTCATGTTTCATCATCATGGTTGTCATGTTTCATCATCATCATCATGGTTGTCATGTTTCATCATCATCATCATGGTTGTCATGTTTCATCATCATGGTTGTCATGGTTATCGCAGCGAAGTCCCGCCCCCCCCAAACGAATCGCACGGAGCTCGAGGACATTCATGCTGGTGGGTTTGCCCGCAAGAGACCACAGCCTCTGAACGCGCCCGAGACTCGCAGCGCACGCGCGCCAGCAAAGCAGGGCTGGGCGTCAATCTCGACCACGAGCTGCTCGTCGAAGAAGCCCCGACGCTTCCCCTCGTTGAGATTTGTTGCAAGTGGAGGCCCCTGAGTACGGAGAGCCACTGCAGAGGGTTCGCGTGCGGAGGCTGGCGCCAGGGAGTACGTTGATCACGGCAGAGAGGTGGCTGAGGGGCACCAGAAAAGACCGGGTCAGCTGCCGAGAGTAGTCAACAGAGAATCAACCCAACACAGCATAGCAGCCATATTCTGGGGTGTCATGAAAGCCAAGCCTGGACAGTGTTGAGGATAACGCCCAGATGTTTGGGGGGACAGCTTACAATTGGTCCCATTGAGAGACAAAACCGTTGGACTGTGAAGCTGAACTTACCGCCCGCGCCAAGGGCTTCAAGGAGCTGTTTAGTGGCCGCACGAACGAGTGTCGTCCAAGTAGGCACAGTCAGTGGCCCCGCCAACTTAGCATGGCCACAAGAACCTACCGGGACCTTGGTAAAACCCTCAGAAGATGTGAGGCCAAAGGGGAGGATGCGGAACTGCCAGTGATGACCCATCACGCAGAAGCGGAGAAAGCAGTGGTGGACGACCAGAACGGACAAAGCATCGTTGAGCCCAAAACCTTCATGACTTGTGTCGGCCAACCTCGACACCTCCGTTTCCAAGGCCAGCGTCATTGTGGAGCCCTGTGATGCACCGGAGTTGATCAGGAGAGGCCCATGGGCATGCAGATGGAATTGCAGGACAAATGTATAATACTAAATGTCTAAGGTCACTTGCATATTTCCACCTTGCAGATTGCTTCTAATTGTAAGTTGAAGGCTCTAGCCCATGAGGTTGCAGCCACCCTCGTGGAATGTCTCTATACCCCTGTAGCAACGCACAACACAATCTCTCAGCCACAATGACAGTCTAACCTTAGAGGCTGGCTTTCCCCTAAAAGCGTTGCCGTTTAAGACGTACAACTTCTACAAAGTCCACCATTTGGCCATTCTTTGTACGTAAAACTCAAGGGCCCTGGTGATACCCAGAGTATAGAGCGCCCTCTGCTTCTCAGAGGCAAACGCTACCAGAGCACAAGGTCGGTAGGTGAAAAGTGGAAGCCACCGACAGCCAGAATCGAGGCAAGATCCTTAGAACCACCTTGTCCGACTGAAAAAATAAATAGAGGATAAGCCGATCTCCCCCTTGTCTCACTTGCAGCCCCTTTATCTCTACCCCCTACTTCCTCCGATCTCCCCCTTATCTCACGCGCAGCCTCCTTATCTCTACCCCCCCCCCCCCTTCCTCCAATCCCCCCCTTATCTCACGCGCAGCCTCCTTTCTTATCTCTACCCCCCCCTTTCCCTCCTCCAATCTCCCCCTTGTCTCACTCGCAGCCCCCTTTATCTCTACCCACCCCCTATCTCTCCTCCAATCTCCCCCTTGTCTCACTCGCAGCAGTCGTTTATGACTCTTGGGGTACGCCCACTTCTACCTTTTAGAAGCAGCCTGCATCAGCAGCTCTCCTCCTACCTTATGTTATATAACCTCTTGCTGCAGGAGCTCTTTTCTCCTTCGTCAGCATCTCTCCTGCTGTGTTGGTCTCACCTGATGACGGTTGCTTGTGTTGCGATCGAAACGCCGTGATCTATTATTTTCTACCTACGTGATTTTACCGAAATAACCAGAGTACGGATTCCTGCAGTCACGAAAGCTTCAACTTACGATTGATAAGCCTACTAGTGAGGCTTGTAGCTCCCCAACCATCCTGGCCAATGTAAAAACAAGGTACCCCCCTCACTTCAAACAGATAAAACACCTGACATGTGAGTCAAGGCGCTTGAGCTAAAGGCCGCACTGGCAGCGCCTGCGGACGTGTTTCGGTGCCAGAATGCGATCAAGAGTACCGTATAAAGAGACATAAAATGGAGAAACACTGTAAGTTGTGCTCCCCCACACTTTCTAGCTAATGGTGGTTCTAGCCTACGCTGTACCCGCTCGTGCAGTGCAGAAACGGAGGTGGGGGGTTATGGGTAGAATGGGTTAAGTTGGGTAGCGAGGGCAGAGGTCCACCCTCAAATAGCCTTCTCTGCACACGTTCCGTGACCCTGCGGGATTTTGCTAAATGCATATAAGACCAGTGGACGGCAGAAATGTAGTAAAAAAATGCAATATAAACTCACTAAATAGTGTGGTCGTTTTGCCTTCCTAGGAAAGCATTCACACTTAGTTTAGGGTCATTTTGAAATATGGTATATTCTGGCCATATTCGTACACAATGGGGCAAAACCCTCGTGAATGCCAACAAAGAGTCAGTTTCGTCCCCTTTCCACCAGACATCCAGCTTTAGCTCGACAACACATGCATTGTCAGGAAGTGATGGCAATCAAATTAAAAACGGATGGAAAATTTGCTTTGTGGTGAGCCTATGGAACACTACCGGTGTGTAGATATGGTGTCCTTGTTAATCCTGGGATGATCTATTTAATGATACCTGTCCTGGTTTTCCCACGACATCCGATGTTTAAGATGTTGGGTGGTCCTGGGAAATCTCTTCCCAAGGATGTAAACAATTCAGCATTTTGTCAGTGCTGTAATAATACATCACTCAACGCATTTGCATGGATTGTTCTGCTCTCTTCCACTGTTCAGAGATAATTTTTCCGTCTCAGTTTTTTGTATTTCTGGTGGCAACCTTGATGACAGCTCGAGTGGAAACAACCATTAAACCCACGAGACCACCATTCCACCTCATGTAGCATTCAGAACACTCAACAGCAATAAACACATATTCTTGGTTCTTTCGGTAAAGTCACGTAGAAGGGAAACAATAAATAATAATAATAAAAATATTATTATTAAATAAAAAATATATTGTTTCCTTTCTACGTGACTTTACCGAAAGAACCAAGAATATGAATCCCTGCAGTCACGAAAGCTTTAAATCAGCAATAAACCCATTTTAAAATCTACTGTTAAACGATGACCTTCACAAAACATAACCAGTAATCTGGAGCTTTATTGTGTACCACAATCACTTTCATTAGCAAAAATATAGCACCACACCTGTTGTGGGAGATTTGTAAATCCAAGGTGGTTATGTTTTCCTTGGATGGATGGAGTCAAGTAATGTCCCCAGTTTTTAAAAAATTCACCATTACATATACATACTTTAAAAATATGATGAATGTATGCACTCATATACATCCTATATCAAATACAAGCATTATTATAATGCTACAAAATTATAATTCAAAAATGACAGATTCAAGTTGACCTCTTCACATAAACATGGCTGACACATTTAGGGCCACTTCATATATATTCATGATCCACGTTGTTCTGGAACCCAGCCACTATAAGTGGCAACATGACATATGCTGAAAAAAAACAGTAACACGTCACAAAAATATTACACATGTAATTTTCTCTTCACGTCACATGTTATTAGGCTATAAATTATAATCATTCAACGTTATTTCGAGCATTTATTACCCTTGGGCCTCATTAAATTTATATCTTAACCAGGTTCTATTTTTTTCAACCACAATGGCTTTACTTTGCAGAGTAAAGTTTAATCTTTAATATTTGCAATTTGTCATGTTTTAGCATTGTGCCAACATACTAAGGAATAGGTTACAAAATATTGCATGAAATACGTAAATCATTGAGCCAATTGAAACAGTTTCATGCGTGACACTTATTTGATATAATCAGCACAATACATACTGAGCATGTATGCACAATACATCTCACACCGTATAGGAAGAATACATTTGAATTAACTCATGTTTACAGCAGTTTGCCGTTCTAACAACAGAAAGATAATACAAACGTTCAATTTATTTTTACATTGTTAAAAGTATTGTTGCCAGAAAGGACAAATTCTAACTGAAAAATCAATTGCACTTCAGTGCAGTTTCGTCACCTATCAGAAATGTAAATAACAGCACTGTCAGATTAAATAACAAGCAGCAATATTATTTCCGACTGTGGGAATTGCAGGATTGGTATTTCAGTTTTGCAACGAAGCATACGGAGTTGTTATTGTTCCCCTTCCTAGTTTTTTTCTGATTCGAGTCTTAGCAACGAGCCCATTGCTCATTAGAAAATGCACACTGGCGAAAATGCACACTGGCTAACACACTTCAATTAAAACAGATGTAAACAGCATTGAGTGATAACACATCATATGGATGACACAGGCATGAATGTGAAATTCGCATCTGGCACCTAACAGGGATCAAGAGTATTCGGATCATGATAGGTATTTACCACCATTGTATGTTACATTTATTTTGCACCGTACATAGCCAACCATGCAAATCGGAGGTGCAAGTGACCGCTTCCTGACAATCCTGTTAAACCATAAACAATTATTGGGACCTGCTTTCTTTGATAAGACATGGTACTTATAATGCATTTAAAATAATCCATTTACAAATTGTTACATGATGCTAGTGTTCAACAAGAAAATGCTTTTATATTTGCATGTGCAGAATGACTTAAAGCAATGCAGTGGGCACTGACAGTGGTCAAATGTAATGTATCTCATTATAGAATGATTGAGCACATTTTTAAATAAAACCTCATCAGGGCATCATGTGAGATAAGGTCACAATTACAGGTCTGGTTTACATCATATGAAGCTATTGTAGAAAATGCCTGAAATGCACTTCACTCAATCTAGAACAAAATAATGTCATGGCTTCAGCATGCTCAAAATTAAAGGATATCCTGGAATGGTTTGTAGGCAAGGTTCCCTTTGAAAGGATTGTCTAACTTCAAAGTACATCAAGAGTTTCAATAGATGACATTATCTTAATAAGGGAAATGTTGATGTCATTGGCCTTATCAGAAAGGTGTTAAGGGACCAGCATATTAGCACAAACAGTGCTCAATATAGAGCACTCATGAACAAGGTCTTCATCAACTCACTAATACCCATCTCTTGAAGTTGAGCCATGGGTCACTTCAGTCAATTCTGTAAGTTGGCATGTCAGAACTTTTAGGAATATAGCAGCACTCGAAGTGTCTGCAGCTCGTCCATGCTGTGGGCAGATGATAACAAAGGACCTCGGCTGTCTGTCCCAATCTTTTAAGCATGTAAACCTCTTGCATAGAAATCCAGTATAATTATATATGATACCCAAAACATGTGCATTTATGAAAAAAGTTATTGTTGAATGAACGCAAAATGTGAATTTTCCCCAACAATTAGCTTGTTGGATGTTCTGACTCAGTGGTAAAAATGTCTTTCCCATGATGGGAGCCAATCTCTCCATAGGACAATTACAATTCATGGTAATATCTAATTTAGGGCTGGACATAATTGTTTGAAAATATACACCAAGTATTTTTAAATGTAGTGTACATAAAAAATGTTATTGGTTATCACGAAATAATTCGTTGTAATTCACTGTAATTAAAACGGATAGTTTTAAAATAGCACCATAATTTTCACTTTGCCTTCGAAGCCTGGAATGTGCACACTCTTCATTACATTGTAATAAAGAAATTGGATTCAAAATGAGAATTACAGCCGGTGCCTAAAGATTCACGCTTCATCTCTGTAAATATACATCTTCACTGCATAAGATTCCCGATTTTAAAAAAACTGGTGTAATTTCAAGTCTACTTTTACATTTATTTTAAAGTTAATTATTTTAATAATTATTTTAAATGAAATCGCACATATTCTTGGTTCTTTCCCTTCTACGTGACTTTACCGAAAGAACCAAGAATATGAATCCCTGCAGTCACGAAAGCTTTAAATAAAAATGAAATCGCACATTTTAGAAGTTGACCACATTTCATTATAGCCTGGCTTTGCTTATTGTGGATTGTGAAATGTCTCTTTCCTAATATTGAGACAATATTACAATAACACTTAGAAGCTTCATCGTCTAATCATGTGTTGGCGGAAATAATGTATGGTTATTTAAAAAAATAACTGGCCCAAGATAGCAGAAAAACCCATTAAAGATGCCTTACTATTCATCCCCTCTGCCCCAGGTGTTTGGTTAAAAAAGAGCGTGAGGTTAGTGGGGCCGAACGGCAATGAGAGAAAAGCCTCACTTATACAAGATTCATGAAGGCCTTCCAGGAGCAAACACCAGGATATAATTGCACTGGCAAAGACGCTATTACTGCTTCAGAAGTATAAACATATATACCTTTCAGATGTCGCATTCATGCACACATACTTTCTGAAAAATACATTAAGTCCTCTATTTACATTGCTCTTATTTACTTTTCACTGTCACGTGACCAGCGGATTCAGGAACGTAATTCGATTTTAAACGCATCCACTCCAACGCTGTTTTGAATGTTTTGTTACTTATACATTCAAATTTGTTACATAATCTGTTTTTGTATCTTTTGTTATATTTGTTTTCTTACTTACAGTATTTTATATAGTTTTTTAAAATTTTCTTTACCAAAAAATTATCCCCAAGAACGCATCCTAAATGTATATAATTAAGTCAATGGTAAAATAGGTTTAGATTGACATTGTTACACCTAACGTCATGTTTTCCAAGGATGCATTCCCAATGTAAATAGAAGCCTTATCATATATGTTTTTGGATATGTTACCAGAGCAGACACAAAAGCTTATGTGTGTGCCATCGCATAATTAGTCTGACTGCTTCTGACACAAAACTGACCTATGTCTCAGGAGAATAGGTGCCAATCGTGAAGGCCATGCCACGTGTGGGGTAAGTATAGGATGCAATTGGCTCATTTCCACCAACACATGAAGCAATAAACCAAATTGAGGCCAATTTTGCCGCAATATCAGCTTTGTGAGGGATAGTTTAAGCAGCAGCAACAATAGCCAATGTGTGTACGCATGCTACCCAATCAAAGACACCTGTCTTGGAAATGCTCCCAATAAGCTAATTCTTGTGACCAAATACTTACGTGGACTATGCATAATATTATCAATAGAATTTGCTTTAAATTACAAAAATCATGCTGAACAGTGCGTAGCGGTGATACAAATTCACATATTGATTGTTAAATGTTTTCCAACAGTTACATGGAACGACTAAAATTCCCAATCAAAATTTAAGTATCAGAACCACCGACATATTATGAGGAAATCCAAGTTATGATATTTGCTGTGAATATCTTTCAGTAAAATTAAATTATTATTCTTTAAGCAAATTATGGCAGTCACGCTGACACCATAAAAATGACCATGCTGAATGCGCACCAGGTATGTATATTTAATTTGTTGATTGGGATATGAAGTGACTGTCACCACTAAGAACAGAGTACTGTCAGTACTATTTAAGTGTATATAACCATACAAAGGCAAACATCTCCTGTATAACCTTAACATACTTTTGGGACAAGTGCCGTTAGAGAGCACATATGAAGGCCGGCACGACACAACAAGGGGTTGAGTGGCCAGCACCACACCTGGAAGCCTTTGTCTCCTGAGTGGCGCTGTTTGCACATCGCACAAGGTACGTATTTAAGGCCGAGTCTACCTAGGGGAGGCCCATGATTAATTCAGATAATAATAAAACACTACTGCTCTCCATATCTATACACACACACATGTACCATACACCATGTGTTGCCTGAGCCATTTGTGGATCTTACTATTACGGTGGAGACCAGGTGCTCCATATGACAATAATTTAAAATTTCCCACAGAGTGGTAACTAATTAATCACCAAATTTTTTACTAGATTTGAACTTGCAACGTTGTGATTGTGTAAAAATATCGAACCACTACCATTCAGCCTTATTATGTGTAAAGCATATACAGCAGAACTCCAAACACTCACATTGATGTGAGGGGACCATATCGTGGAGCACATAATTCTCTGCCCATTGTCGAGGTTAGTCCTGTAATCCATGAAAATAATGTTTGCGCGGACGTGGTGTGCAGCAGATTATGGGAGGAAAGAGCTGTGCGATTCCATTTATTTACAAAAAATTGTGGATGAAAGGGGAAGTGCAAATATGTGAGTGCCAGCTAAATCACCAGATAACTTAATCCACAACGAATTTGCAGATTACTAAATTATGAGTTTTATAACCCGCAAATGGTGCAAATTTGCCATATGGGTCTATATTAAAGGATTCATTTTGCATTTTATTAGACTCGATATCCTAAGTCGAAAGAGATGAAGACCTAACAGAGAATGGCTTCACGGCATAAGAGATTGGTGCCAGACAGATGTGCACTACTTGAGTATATTGTCACAATTATGAGACCTCATTACTATATATTGTCACAAGACTGAGGAAAGTGGAAACAAATGACGAAATATGCAGTGGACAAATGTCCACGGGTTATCTGCCCATGGAATGTGATGATGATCCCAAGTAATAAAAAAGTTGAATTCTTCTCTACTAACCAATTCATACCAGCACAGCTAGTCTGTGATGATGCACAAATAAAATCTTAAATCCACGTTTCCCTCCAATTCCATTCCTGCAGCTCCATATTCGTTCCATCCACCTCTATGGATTATGATTTACGGACCAAAATACGTTTTTAACCTGCCATAGTGTGCCATGTTTAACAAGTGGAATGAGCCGCACGACCCCATTAAGCAAAAAATAAAATGTCTGGATTAGGTCGGCAAGGCTCGCAAGTTCACCTGTGGATGCTGCCGATACGGCGTGCTGTGAATTAGATAATTCCCTGCTCCCAAAAAATATGCAAATATCGTTTTTGGATTCCTGGCTCAGATCATGGGAGGTGTAAACCGTCAATAATCCACAAATTACAGGAATTTGCAGATTAGAGTACAGATTATTGGAGTCCTGCTTCAGTAGCACGTGTCTATACATATTAGGTCATTTGAAAAGAAATCAGTTTATTTATTCCAATGCATTACTTTGCAATTGCCCACTTCAGATGTTGAAATGCAATAACAGCTTGGAGTCAACAATTCAGAAATTGTGATCATGCACATGGAATCGTAATTTGTGCTGCGCTGCACTTGAATGTCATTCCATTCCAAAACCTCAACCTGATGGTGACGTAACTGCACGACCAGTCATTGTGAAATAAACATCAGTTATGCAGACGCCTTACACCTGACTTGTTGTGATTGCCTGCGCTTGCTTGCCATTTAAAACATAAAACAAAATGTGTGCAATTTTAGGTTGCAATTTAAATAACAATGTGTTGCTTTGCGGAAGGTCTTTTAGCCTATTTTTATGTTAAATGTTTTCATAAAGTAAATGCTGCTCACAATTAAAACTTGTCATCTGGCAACAATTTCCCCCAAAAATAGATGAAATTATTATTTCATAAACGACTTGATTAAATGTGCCCCAAATTGTAACAAATGTGAATATAGTGAGAAATTCTATTGCATATTTATTTATTATGCTTGTTTATCCAGGAAATCCTCAAAGAGTCTAAGGAGATTACTGCCAGGTTTTGACAGTAGGGGGTTGATGATTGATATGTACATTAAAATAAAGTAATTTGCGGGTAATTTTTAGATTTGACAATTTTGGATCATGATTGCTGGCATACATGGCCTACTCTTGCGGTAATGTAAGGGGATCTTTATTATCCACTGTGAAGCAGACGTGTATTTTTATGGTTAACATAATCACAGTATTAATCAGGGAGGAGGCTGGATTTGAACCAGGAACCGCTGTAACAAGCAACAAGAAAGTGTTACGGCTGGGTCATGTGACTGCCCAAATTTATTTACTCTGTCATATTTTGGTCATTACAAAACCTGATCAAACAAATATTCCAATATTTGTGCCTGCATTTAAAATGCAAAACAAATACTTGACACGTATTTCATTAGATTTCGTATGCTTTGCAAAGAAAATAAAAAGGTTTTTTTTTCATCTAAAAGATGACATTTTTGTGACAGACCCACCAGTGGCTCGTAACTTTTTCCAACGTTCAATGCTGGTCCTCTTACAGAAAGTGAAACTGAACTGACAAAAACAGGGACAACGCTTGCACACAGCTCTCACAAGCTCCAATGCACTCTCCTTCCCAATCGCCATGTATGTACATGTAGCCTGCTGCCATCCCTCTTGCACAGACAGCACAGGTGGAGCATTGCTAATTAATTGGCTCAAGATACAAAGTACAATTCAAAAGAATGGCCTCGTTTCACTGCTATCCACATGGCAGCATGAAGCTTCACCAGTATCCTTGTTCCAAGGAGAATTTGATTCGTTTACATTCTTTACCGAGACTGTATTGGTGTATGCATACACATACTCCAAGCTGTCTGAGCACACATTGTTAAAGGTAGGGTAGTGCACGCACAATTTGAGGTTTATTTCCCATTTTCCCGCTGCCGCTTTGTGTAGAAGAGGATGTAGGCCTTAGCCCTGGCCACTGTGTCCTCCTCTGATCGGGTCACTGTGCTGTCATTGAAGTGGAACCAGAGCCCATTGTGCGCCGCATATGCTGTGTAGTGTCCCGAGCCAACCCTACACACACACGGCGACACATTCCTGTTATTTAGAAGCACTCACGAGGCTGCCGCAAAGCCGCAATCTCTGACAGATCTAGAATCTGTGTGTTGAATATAATTTAAACCAAGAATGTACAGCATCACAGACAAACACAATGAATATGTGTAATACGTGTGCCAACCAGACCCCACTCCCCCGTGACTCGTGGTCACGATTACATTTCTATTTATTTTTTAAAATGTTATTACAGTGTGTTTAGACAGGTAAGAACTCATGAGACCAGGATAAGAGTCTCAAGCTCCACCTAAAAGAAACCTCACCACAGAAATGTTTACTGAGGGCCTTACTCAGACCCAGATTGGAAGCACAGCAGCTCCAAACTTGTCTCCCACCGCTGCCTCGTAGTACCGTAGAATGCACTCGTGAGTGCAATACATAATACTTACTGATGTTATAATTTTTAAAAAATTATTAAATAACGTTTTCCATCAATAGTAGTATGAGCGCTATTACTGATACCCCAATGAAGCCCTCATATATTGCTCATACGAAATAAATAACGCTGGTGGGAACGTATCCCCATATATACAATGGTATTATGGCTCCTTTTAGCGCTTATTCGTTTAGCGCTCAATTCTCCAGGAACGCATCTTGAGCGCTAAGCGAGGTCTGCCTGTACAATACAAATAGTCCAGATGTTTTCAAAGCAGGAGCTAAACATACCCACACATTCTTGTTGCTTAATACCCAAGATAAGTGGACTTGTTTTGACATACCAAATACAAATGAATATCAGTAAACTGTCAATCTAATGTCCGGGCTTGTAATATGAGGATCACGCCTTGGACGTATCTGCGCTTGCCCGCTGGATAGTTAGGCTCACCCCGATCCGTGATGCACCACGACCGCTGCAAGGTCATAGAGGCTGCTACTGTTGCTGCTGCCTGGTGGCTCACCTTTCTCCTGCTGTGGAAAGACAAAATATTGCCATGTGTTACTCTTTATCTAAGCCTTTGTTTACAAACCTTCTTTATGTCTTTTCTGTAATTGCTCTGAGCACCTCCAAGTCCCAAGCAGTTAAGGGTTTGCATTAACATCAGTTTAAATAAATACATGTTCTAATTTGAAGGCGACACATTTTATAATAATAATAAAAATACACCAAATATATAAAGTAAAACTCTCAAAGTCAGATGCAGGAAAGATATAACTTTGGGTTTTCCAACTATTCAAAGATTTTAAAATATTACCGTATAACATTTAGAAAATGGATTTCCAAAATATGAATACATTTCTTTGAGCATTTGAAGTACTAATTTAAAAGTAAAAGCACTGTATAAAATATTTGATTTAAGAAAAAAGAGAGTGATTTAGTTTGTTACAAATATATTTACAGTAATTTATGTACAAAATAATTGTTTGTGCGCTATTTAAGCTATGTGCGAAAGGTTACAGTGTTTTGTGGCCATTAACTTATAACATATTAATGACAAATGTTTCATTTGCAAATTGATCTCCAAAAAAATAGTGTATGGTCACCACCAAAATGCCACATGTTAAACCGATGCAACCGTGAAGACACGATGTTGGTTTTAACCCTGCATTCTTTAACTTTTTAAATTTATTTTGTAAATAAATTACTGTCACTATATTTTTAACAAACTAAATCACTCTTTAAGCTTGAATCAAAGTGTTTTATAGAGTGCATTTATTTGCTAAATGAGTACTTAAATGCTCAAAAGAAATTCATTAATATTTTGGAAATACATTTTCTAAATATTCTATAACCGTTACTGTGTTAATAACATTCAAATGTTAGGTGTTAATCACATATATATTGAATACAAAAGAGTAATGGTATAATTATTTAACTACTTGTAGTGTCAGATATCCTCATCACCTGAGAGGCTATCCCCTCCCAATATTGATTATAAATACATCGTAAATACATTAACGTGAAAATGTGTCAAGTGATGTAAGATATTTTTACATGTCATTGTTGGACAGGACATAACTATAACATGTATGTTACGAAAAGTTATCTTGCAAATGGAAGCACATAGTGGAAAGATTACAAAAATATGAACAAAAAACCTAAAACATACAGGAACAATTTTCTCTACAGCATGCCACACTGAGTGAACAATTTTAAACATTTAACATAGCAGTACCAGTTCCTTCTGTCTGTGTCTTTGCGGAATGGCAGACAGAGGTTGTTTTTATTTAGATTTTCTCTAGATTTGAACCACAGCACAGAGGTGTATTTCCAAAGCCATTGATGTAGGCAACACCACCACCAGTGAAAATGAACTGGACTGAGCCACAAAAATCTCTCCATAAATTAAGCAAAGTAAATCCAGCGGACCTTTAGTCAAGAATAAACCTAACAGTGAAAATTGTGTCCTAACCACTAACTACACTGTTACACGCAGTTGCCACAGATCGCCATCAGCGCACACAGTTGACACACGTTCACAAGCATGGTGGCATTTCTAAAGATGGCTCCAATCCTCGTACGAGAAATTGAGAGTTTAACTGGCCGTCACATTTTGCACACATTTGCTCATCTTGATGCACAAGCTTGAGCGAACTGCGCACTTCAGTTGACGGTTGACGTTCGCGGTAGACTGCGACCCTCTAAAGAATGGCGCCGTCCTCATGGTCGTCCCCGTGATACATGGATCAGAAAAATCGATCGTAGAATGGCAGCAGGAGCAGTTTTTTTTAACACCGTCGCAAGAGGTCACATGCAGTACACTAACCTAAAATAAGAATGAGCCACGTGTGAACCTCACATTTTATAACATTAATGGTTCAGGTTACATCATAAGGGTGTTTCCACACAGCCACCCAACATTCCCCGAGGGTAAGTCTATTTACCTCGAGTAAAAATGACTTGACGTCCAGACCCTTCAGAGGAAACTCCACATACGTATCGATCTTGTTGCGCATATATGCTGTCCAGTGGAATCGCTTTAAGTGCAAACACAGCACCTGTTACAAAGGAAACACGGGCATTGTGAATGTAAATATATTGTCCATTGATTTATTAACGCTGCCATTCATGAAAAATGTTTTTTGCAGCCAGCAATCTTTTTTTTAATAAACCTAGAAAGTATTGAGATGACTCACATTCTTGTCGTGGAATTCCACTGAAAAACATTATACATGTCTGGAAAATATGCAAAGGCTGCCAATGTTTTGTGCCAAGGTCATCACCTTAATACAGACCGACTCCAAAGCCACAAAAACTGAAAATAAAATTTTCACTTAATGGTGAATTACAAGCAGTATACAAATATGACATTTTAAAAACACAAAGATACCAAGACAATTTGAAAGTAAAAAAATATATTACCTATAGACACATAGCCAAACTCAGTGTCACTCGCAAGCCAGACAAAAGAAGTAGGTCCCTCAAAAGTAGGTGCAGATTGAATGTTGTGAATGTGCTGCAGCTGCTGAAAATGCCTGCTGCTTTGAACTGCCTATTGCTATGAACAATACTTTGCTACTGCTCCCAGCAGTATCCCGAGGCACAAAGCTCCCAACCATGTTGAATTTATGCAAGTTGAACTTCTTTCGCACTGTACATAGCCAACCGTGCCAATCAGAGGTGCGGGGGAAGGACAACAGACTAAACACGAAAAGCAGTTTGAAAGAAATTATTTTTCAATCTAGATTTAAAAGTGCACAGCTCCAGTGGCTTCTTAATAATGGTCAGAACCAAGTGTTCATCAATACCCAATTGCATCATTGTGTCCTAAGTAATAGCTTCAGCAGCATGTTCTTTACAACATTATACAACTCTTCCTTCATCTGACATAATCCCTTCGCCTTTGTGCACTTATCCTATTTCTATATTCTGCTTCCAAACCCCATACCCCTTGACAAAAATCTGCATCCGATTTTCATTGACACCGTTTCCATCACACTCTCCAGCACCGCACGTTGGAACACTTGACTGATTTAAGTTTTGTAAAGGTCCTTCATATAAACCACGTGACAGCCCATGAACGCAGTATGTGTATTTTGCATAGAAAACCTGCAAGAAAATAGCAAATATGTTGAGATATAGTAAACAAATAGAATGAGAACAGAATAAATGTAAAATGTTTGGAAAGAAAACCCAGATGATACAAAATTAGAGTTAATTAAAAATATAGTAACTTGCCCCTACTGGAGATCTGTAAAAAAGAGCTTCATAGCTCATCGGATTACTCTAGTCTAAATAAAGATTCTGATTCTACTACTTATAGAAAGCATATCACAATACGCTTTAAAATTGATAATTTGTTGCAAACATCTGCTTTTCTCGCACTTGACCAAGGATTGGTGCGATGTTGGCAAACTATGCTGTGCATCAAAAGGCACTCACTGCCGGCAGTTTCTGGATCCAAAACTTTTTAGTGGACTTCTGTTTCTTCTTACACATGTGGCATGTGTAGAGCTCAGAGTCATCCAGCTGCTCCAGTGCTGTGAAGCTGTGCAGGCAGTCTGTATACATGTGGGGAATACGACATTAAAACACCACCTGTAAACATGCACTTGAGCATGTCCACACAATACAGCAGACCAACATGCAGGCAAAATGGGCATATATCCACTAACACTGGCAGCCTGGTATGTTAACAATCCACAACCAGGGATGGTGCACATATCCATGCAATGATAAGCACATGTGTATTTAATAACAGCTTACAGTCCTTCATCAATCCAGTGCTAAAGGCCTCACCGCACCATGTTATTCATGGGGGTTGTTGGACTGTTAAGTCAGTTGACTGAGAGTCAGTTGGGTTAGTGAAGGGAGAGCCAGAACATGATCATACGTCACCGAACCTATCCTGTACAGATAGTCCCCGAGTTACGATGGGTCCGACTTACGATATTTCGATCTTACGATGGCGATACGACATAATTGTAAAATATTTTAAATTTCGCGTGGCAGGTGAGTACAGTACAATATGATACGTTACGATACGTTCAATGCATGTATGATACGTAGCTTTAGCGACTTCATTTTTGGGTTACCACGATATGAATACGTTCAATGCATGTTAAAAGTTTTTATAGCAGATAGGATTGTTTCCTGAAAAAAACTTTCCATTAAATTGCAGTTCATATAGGTAGGTGAAGAATTTACCTTGTTTTTTTACTTTACATTTTACTGTGCAATACAGCATTGTTACACATTAATAAATACATACAGTATATAGTTTATACAGTACGGTACTGTAAATTGCTCTGTTTTGCTAAATTATCACCATTCTTTAAGACTCCTGGGTAGGCTAGGCCATCTTCACCTTACAATATTTTTGACTTACGATGGGGTCGTCGTAACGCATCTCCATCGTAAGTAGAGGACTTCCTGTATACCCATTTCTGCATTTGCATGGCACACAGCAGAGATTATCGAAGACTTCCAATTTGTCAACCACAGATGACCCGTATCACTATTCCTCCTATTCTGTTTTTGAGTGAGACAAGAATACAGCATCACGGGGCTCAGCGCCTCGTAATATTTCCCAATTTCCCACACAGTCTCATTCACCAACACCACTCCCAGGTGTCTGTCCAGTTCGTGAGTACAGGAATCCCCTGCTAGACTTGCCACATTATGCGTTGCTTCTCATATAGCGAATATATTTACTCATAAGTGTAATGTTTCTCATATGCTTTCTTGTAAAAAATTGTGGGGAGTCGATGTGCAATATTTTTACTTTTAACAGAGGCAGAGAAAACGGACTACTTTGCGATACAGCATACTGTATGAGCATAGCGTGTACCACCAAAAACGCCTCCGCCACGTGGAGGGAAATCCCCTCCACGTGGCGGAGGGAATCTGGACTCAACAATGTGGAGGAGTTGGACGTGGTGGAGTTGCTCGAGTCCCATGCTGAGGACCTGTCAAACGAGCATCTGATGCAGCTGGAACAACGAGTCGAGGAAGAGGCCGATGATATGACACTATCACCCCCACGTATTTGATATTCACTGCTACAAGGAGCAGTGAATATCAAATAGCAGAAGAAAAATATTGTCTAGATGTCTTTGGAATGTTTTTAAACGTTCTGCACTGAAGCTAAAAGGTCCAGAGTAGAGCCCAGAAGCAAGCCAGATTCCTCTGGTGAACCTTCCTGTGCCTCCAGCTTCATCGTTAGATGAAGAGGCAGTGGAACGTACCCCTTCGTCTGTATTACTCCACCACTGCCCTCTCCGAGAGGCTTCAATCAGTAAGCTCTTAAACCATCTCTGGTAAGTTTTTATCTAGCTATTTGTATTATTAGTCAAAATATACATTAACTTAGAACCATATGCATTTTTGTAGATTTTATGACATTAAGTCATGCATTTGTTTCCAGAAATGTAGGCTAGGAACACAACCCCTAATTTTCAGATTATGTCTATATCGGAAATTATAGTTTGCTGTAAGCAATTTCGAGTTAAGTAGCATTTCCCAGGAACATATAACAGGGGATTCCTGTATAGCGGGGGATTACTGTACAGGACTGTCTATTCCCACTTAGTGATATAGCTGGACCCAGATCACAAAATCAATCCCCGAGGAGTCTAGAATTACAGCCCCAGCTTCACGTATGTATACTCTTTGGTTTTATTCGGTCAAGTCACGTAGGTATTAAATCACGACTTTTCGGAAGCAACACGAGCCTCCCTCATCAGGCTGTGGTTGTCCTGCCTGATGATGGAGGCTTGTGTTGCTTCCGAAACGTCGTGAATTAATACCTACGTGACTTGACCGAATAAAACCAAAGAGTATGGATTCTTGCAGTCACGGAAACTTCAAATCTATAATTAATTCACGTATGTATGTTGAACTTATTTTGCCCCATATTGAACAAAAACATACTAATCGGAGGTGCAGTGGAAGGACAACAAACTAAACACAAAAAGCAGTTGTAAAGAATGAGTTTTCAACGTATATAAAAGGCAGTGTGTCTTAGTGTTAGCACTATGTGGGGGCAGCCACATTATTTTATTTTTTAAGGGGCTCCACACTGGGTTTGGTTAGGTGTTTTACAAAATGTTAAATACTTGACACCAAGGAAGATTAAGTGTTCATATTAACTGGACTGCAGTGATGAGCACAGTTCATTACGTACGGTGCAAAAGAAGTTCAACATACACACCCCCTGAACACAAACTCCCCCAATATGTATGCTCACTGAGAGAACAGCTTACTGGTCACCGTGCAACATGTGAACCTACCTACACAATTGAGTAATCAGCAGAGGCTTGTATACTTTTGAATCAATTAATGTTATTCAACAAAACTACCACAACATTACAATTCTAAAGCTACAGGAAAAATGAGAATAATTTACTCCAAACACAAACACACAGAGGCGTATATACACCCACAGCTTTGCATGGCACACACAAGCATGCATACACACTCTATAGCTACACTAACCCCCACTGACATTGATAATGAAATCTCTTTATTCCAACTGAGGTTTGTAGTAACAATTTTAGCTACCAATCTAAGTATTGGTTTTGTGTGTGCTGTAACTTCATACCGGGCAAGGTGCACACTGGACCAGGTTCTTGGCTCTTGGCTTTCCTCTCCCTAAATTGGAGTGGGATGTCCAGAGATAAATCTGAATTGGTGTGAAAAATCAAGCAACACACATATCAAAAAAGAGCAAGTACTAACTTTAGATGAGCCATGCTTAATGAAGCTGTGCAGAGTTGAACACTGTCAAAGTTCAACAAAACCATAATTTAAATAAATATGCTAATCACAGAAGCCAAGCTGTTTAAATAATTTTGATTTAAAGCTTTCGTGACTGCAGTAATTCATGTTCTTAGCTCTTTCGGTAAATAATATTTTATTATTTTATTGTTTTCCTTCAACGTAACTTTACCGAAAGAGCTAAGGATATGTTTAAATAATGTTCAGCTATTTGTTCATTTACATCTTGATTAAGGCCTCCCCATGCCTCATTAGTCATGGATTCTTCTTTACCATAATTCACCATGCTGGTCAATGTGAGTTGGCTATAAAGGGCAGCCAGGATCAATTCAAATAATAATAATCTCCCCCTCAAAACTGTTTTATAGGCTATTATATAATAGCTCACATGAAATCCAATGACCATGTGCACAACACTAAGCTAGCCTCAAGTACCTGAATCATTTTCCAAAAGCAATATTGTATTAAACATTAAAATGCACACCATACCCCAAGGTCACAAAAGGAAAAAGATGCAAACACAAAAATAGACATTTAAAAAATGGTATATTAGTGTAAATGTAAGACATCAACAAAGATGGCGCGTATATAAGTGGGTGGTGTTTAGGTCCATTGTTGGAATGTTCTGCTAAATGGAAATGGTATGAAGAAAATGGAGCAAGTTGATGTAATAACAAAATCTTCAACCTGCCCATATTACCCATTTAACATATTATTACCTATGATTACACATTTAACATATTATTAACTAAGTTGGGAAAGGGGGGCCAACAGACTAGCCCATGACTGTAAACTGGGGAATAAAAAATATGAAATAAACTATTTGTGTTTGGGATGGTCAGGGTGTTTGAGTCCTAAAGAAATGGCAGGATTGGGAATCAGTTTGGAACAGTGTATATGGTTATAATAACAAGTGATCATGTTGAATGAATGGCTTTAAATTGAGAATATCAGAAATTGGGAGGTAGGGAGCCAAATGTGAGTTGAAGTTCACATCCATTGTGGCCAAGCAGGTCACCAATTATGTGAATTATTTTTTGCTGCCAATCTGGCAAGGCACGGGTTTATTATCGATCTGAAAAGAGGGATTAACCCCATAATGGGCAAGAGGCCAGCAAGTCAGACGGAGTGTTCAACCATTTGACAATATAACGCTAATTTTGAGAGTAATGCCGAGGGACCATAGCACAGTTGATTTCATGAGGATCAGTAAAGGACAATAATTTGGAAGAGTCGGGTTTGGCCTGTATTTTCCACCACTTTGGCCAAATTGTGGACTTTTTTTGAGGAATTAAATTTAAAATCAAGTTGAGTTTTAGACTGATGATACAGTTTATAGTTGAAAGAGGGCATATCCTTCTTTGTGTTTTGGAGCAGGCCATGTGTTGAGCTATATCCTTGGTAATCTATGATTCCAGATAAAAGATGACGTTGTTGATTTCAAACAAAGGAAATTTGCACAAGGACCAACTGGACTAAACATAGATATTTCAGGAAAATCATCATCTTTCTTATTTCAATTCTTGTTGGAAGTTAAAGGTGATGGGCATTGCATATGTGGCTTTGCGTCTTACAGAAAGGGGAGGAAATTCACCTCAAAAGGGGATGATAGTTTATTGAAGTAACTGAATCATGAAGTACAGATTTGAGGTAAACAACATTTTTTCAAAGCAGCTATTACTATTTTGTAATCTCAGTCTGTCATTTAATGTCATGAATAGTACAGTATATACACATATGAAATGTCATTTTTCATTATTCTTAACTATGTGAGGACTGTAAAAACAATACACCTCATGGGCATTAAGCCTTCTGACCGATACATTAACAGACATTCCTTCTGTCCATTGCTGACCCCCCGGGTGCTGACTTAAATGTCCATCTTAGTAACCTGCTTTCTCCTCCATCCTGCCCCCATTCACAACCCACCGCAATCCCAAGCTACAGTGCAGACTAGCAACATTTCAATGTAATAGCAAAGCATGAGCATAAATTGACCTGTGCACCGTACAAAAGTCTTTAAAAAGTTACGTGATATTTCCAGAGTTGAAAGGACTGGTTCCCAGACATTGCAAGACAGCAGATAACGACGCACCCAGGAAGGGGTCAAATTTCTTTGACTCCGTGCCACAGATGAGACAGTTGACATCACTCTGCAGGATGCCCCCGAAGATGTCCGTTACCACTGTAGCAACACCATTTCGGCAGGATCGGGGTAAGCGTGCCTCCCCTGAGCAGCCCCTGCATGCATCATCAAAAAAACATGCACACACAACGACACGTATAAACCCACAGAAGAGTATACGTTTATTCTCAATGCTCTTTTTACCTGAATATAAACGATGTACTATTATGTCCTGATAGAAGCAACAAATAAATTAGTAACACATTGTAATGGTTTTGATAAAGGACAATGTGAAACGGGACTAATTGCATCGTAACTAATGCAGTGGTATTTTTATTACCTCCACGCTGGCCTGTAAAATTATCAGAAGTATCAGGAAATGTCAAAGCAGGACTCATGGTGGCTCTTCTGTGCACATATCCAGGGCATTACTACTATAATAAGCCAAGAATGTGTGTCCCGTGCATGACGTTACTCCACATGAGATTATTTATTATTTTGTAATGGTGTGCAAAACGAAAAGATAAAATACAAAAACAGAGGCGCAGTTGGCCTTTATAAAAAGCGACGCTGGTATGTTTTTGGAGAAAATGTATTATTTTTGTAATAAACTGATAATTAGTTATAATTTTAATAAGCTTTTCATTAAAAAATATTTAAATTGCATGAAAATCCACGTAGAATCCCCAGCGTTACACACAGCATAAAGTGTCAGGCGTTAGGCACAGATCACCAAAACGATATGCATAATGAAAATAAGTTGTTTAGTGTTGCAATAGTTGATTTAAAAAAAACTCCCCGTGGGAGTATCGAGAGCGACTAACTCACATGGCGTGTGCGTCTTCTGTGACCGCCGCATCACGGCGAGCAAGACATGAGCGGCCCGCGCGATCCACGCCGCACTGCAACTCCATGTGCAGGTGGTCCAGCAGGTAACGCATGAACTCATGGGCATCCTGCTGTTGATAGCCCCTACGTCGTCCAGATATTCACATAGGTACGCAACAACATTAACGTGTGGAGAAGCGATGGTGCCGTGGCAATCACACTGCACGATGAACCCGGTGACCTACGTTCGTTTCTCGGCCATGGCTATAATCAGTAGAGAGTTCATTTTTAACCAGTCCTGGGCTTACATTTGATATGTGAATTAAAACGATAAAAAAATGTTCTATCAGTTTTCATCACTTTGTTATTGACGAACCAACGTATTCAGGTATAATTTCACGTGACATTTTTATTTGTATATTCACATTTGCACACCCACTGTGATGTTGCTTTATGCACTTGAAACAGCAAGCTGGATAATTTGATTGAGCTCAGCGATTTCTTGTATTTGATAGGTCCATAAACACATTACTCTTTCAATATATTTCATCCACAGCAAGGGGAACACTGCCATAATGAGAAATCCTGGAGACTACTGCAAGCATAGTACGCAACTGGCACAAAGCATTAAAAGAAGACATCGCATTTGTGAAGTTCTTGATATTCCCTTAAAATGTTACTTTTATACATTACTAGCATCCCGCACATCCTTTGGCCATGACCATCCAGACCTTCCCTCCCAGCGAGCTAGAAAAACGTTTAAATTGATATAGAGCCTTGTGTCTCTCCACCTTTCACTTGCCTTGTACTGTACATCCCTATTTATCTAGAATTCTCACTTTGTCTCTGTTTCCATCTGTTGCTCTATTCCTATCTCCTCCTCTACCCCTCCCTCCCTCCATATTCCTCCCCTTTCTCCGCTATCTCACCCACTTTCATGCCCCCTATCTCCCTGTTTCTTTCTCCTCTCACCCTCCTTATTCCCACCTCGCTCGTTCCCCGTCTCAATCTATCTTGCCTCTCTCTAAACCTCCCTCTCACTGCTTGTCACTTTCTCTTGCTCTTTTTCTGTTTGGTTCTCTTTCCTCTGTTTCATGCTATTTCAGTCTTTTCTCTCCGTTTCTTCTTCTCTCCCCTATATCTCCCTCCCTCACCTACCTCTCCAATCTCCCCCCTCAACCTCCCTCCTCTATTTACCTCACCTTCCTCCTCTATCACTCTCGTCGATTGTATTTTCATGGGGTAGACGTCCGGGGGTGGAGGGTAGATGGGTGTAGGGCGTGACATCACCGTGACTGATGAACCCAGTTCAAAGCTGTGGGATGAGGGTGACGTCATCGTGCAGATGATACCGGTGGCGTCACGACCACGCACGCGCACTTGGGCACGCGCGAGGCAGGCAGGAATCCAAGCAGGAATCCAGCCAGAAATTGTTTTTTTTCTATTTTAGTATGATTTTAGAGGAATGGCAAAGGCTGTCATTCCTTGAGGAGGAACTGAACTAGCTCTGCCCCATACAAGAGGCACCACTTGTTTTTGTACAACAGATAGTGCTTCGCTTACAAGGGGGATGCCGACTGATGGTCAGTCACACACTCGCTCGGATCATCCACGTGAATTGGGGAGAAATCTTTGCATAGGTAAGGCCACGGAATCGGGGGATGAGGAGAGAGCTGGGAGGCAGGATAGGAATCATGCGAGGTGCGAGGCAAATTACATTCAGGGATGGCATGGAGCAACCAATGGGGGCAAGGGTTAGGCTAGAACGAGATGGGAGAAGTGTCGGCAGATTGCCAAATGTCAGGCAGTGACACCCAAAATTGCATTCATATGACATGAATTTAATCCAAGATGATTACACTGGAGACAACTTGAGGGCATGGGGGGGGGGGGGGCAGCACCCAGTTACTGTGTTACGACTCATGTATGCGTAGTATCCTTATTTGGGTCTTTGTGACAGTTTTTGTTGCTCTCTTGGGTCACCTTGTGAATAAAAGACTGACCTAATTGTTGCTGCAAAGCCACTGGACATGATATTACCTTTGAAGTGGGCTTCAATCAGGACCATTGTTAAAACACCTCCTTTTCTGGCTTTGAGGGCAAATGGGTTTGCTTGCAATCATTGCTTCACCTGAAGTTTGGCATGACCTTCCAGACGACGTAGAAAAGGGAGTCGGGTGAGAACGCAGTTGGACTGCCCTGCCACAGTGAGCATAGCGTCTTCCTGAATTCCTCTACCAGAGATCTGCAAAAATTGATTCCAGACAGTTAATAGTGCACACAAAGCATCTGTCGAGCATGCAATACAGATCTAATATTTTTCACGTGTGTTTTTTTAATCTGTATGCGAGTATTTACAAATGTTAAAGGACAATGATAAGTGTTAGAGGAACTTCGGGTAGATTTAGGTGGGTGAGGGGTAGTTTTGTAAAGTGCAGATGTTTTGAGAGGATGAGTGAGGGCAATAATGTGATCTGATTTCCAGCGGTGGAATATTTCTAGGGTGGGCAGAATGGTAGTGTACATGTTTTGGACATCTGTCCAAAAGGTGTTGTTGGATGCTTGGATGTATGGGGGTGAATCTAGGGCAGAAGGGTTAGACTTATTCTTGGCTCAGCGTTGGCTGGTATGATAGATGCAGTGCAGGAGCTTGCATTAGGTAAGGGATAGGATGGTTGATTTGATATCAAGAGGACACAGAATTCTAGATATGAATATTATTGTTCAGAGATACTAGTGGAGGTGATCTTATTTCAAATTGTGGCAGTATGTGGCCTGGTGAGGGTTGTGGAATACCATTAAGGTGCTGACGAGTTTACGATTGAAATTCTATCTTGGGACAAGGGTTACCTTAACCAGAATGTGATAGGAGGTATGGGGCATCAATAAGATTGAAAAGCTGAGGGTGATTTCTCATTTATAAGATTATGTCGAGGGAGGATATAGGCATTGCGAATGTCCAGGTCATCAGTAGTGTTAATGCTGGCTTTCTTTCAGGAATGCCATCTACCGAGGGGGAGATTGAGTCACGTAAAGTGGAGAGATCAATGCCATTGGATATTAACCAGGGTCTGTATGCCGCAGAAAATTTATCAAGTGTATGTAAGTGAGTGTAGTAGTGAGCTTCAGGGAGTAATTTTCACGGGAGCATCTGAGGTCTTGGAGAGACCATGGGCTTATCAAGTTTCCCATTGTTTCCAGGTGGGAATTTGGGGTACAATTTAACCATGAGCATGCAGACCAAGTGCTGAGAAAGTTTCTATTTTACAGAATGCACTGGTTTTAATGCACGGCTAAAGAATTAGATGGAACTAACATATGGCATAAAATAGTTTTCTTGAAATGAAAAGTTAAGACCTCACATGGAGTATGATGCGTGGCATTGTGTGATGGCGTCACATGTGACATCACCGTAAAAATGAGGTGAGCATATGACAAGTGATGTCGCCTTGGCCCTCAAGGATAATCCTTCGAGCATTGTTTTTTAATGCTAAGTTTTAGGAAATCCCTTGATCAATTTGTCCAATTTATACAGCGCAAATCCTCATAGCATCACAACTTTAAACTAAAATTCAGGTTAATATATCATACTAATAGTTATTAGAACCCCCCCCTTTACAGATAGACAGAGAGATTAATTTAGCGAATGCATTGATTCGTTGAAAAACATTTAAAAAGGCGACTGGAAGGGAGTGCATTTTGCGCACTTGTAGTCAGGACCGGCATGCTTCTACGGATTACTGTTCTTTAGTGCAACGGGATCATTTCCTGGGAAAAGGCAATTTTGGGAAGGTTTTGGGTGTGCAGATATGAAAGTTAGGTATTCATGAAGCAAAAATATATAAAGGTAGGAATTAAAGCAAGCCTTCCATTGTGTCAATGTGTGGCTTGTTTTCAGGATATGTCAAAACTATTGACTCAAACAAGTACTAGTTATACCAAATGATTTAATAACATGCATTTTTGCGATGGAAATCATAGTGTGCAAACACTCCATGGTAAACACAAGCACGAGAACTCACATGTTGCAGTCAATACCCTGGCTCCGCGTGTGGTACATTCTCCTGCCCGCCGTCTTGCCACTCCGCAACTCCACGGCTGGCAACTCTTTGAAGAAGCAGCAGAACTGCTGGATGTTACTGTGGGGCACAGTTTATTAAGAACGGCTACAAGATATTGAGGGTGCAAAGCCAAATTTATGAGATACGAATGCACAGTCTGTTGCAATGGGTAGTGTCACAATGCATCAAAATATGTCTGACATATTAAGGGCACGGATATAACAGCAAAAATTAAGTAAACGCCTTGGACATGGGATCATGTACAGGGGCCTGAGTACAGAAAATGCTATTCCAATCCGGCAGGCAGCGATTGTAGTCAAATCCAACATTTTGTAAACAAAATGTAAACGTATGCAAAGGAAAAAAGGCGTTCCAGTCAGACTGTAAATCTAGGGGCATGGTAGTGGTTTCTAGAGGTTACTTCATTATTCTCCCTGCACCAGTCAATCAGCTGTCAGGAAGACAACCCTATGCAACATGGTTGCCATGAAGTCACCCGTGCAAAATGGCTGGCGTGACGCCATTGCTGTGCACTCCAGCCAAGCCGAGGTAAGAATATTTACATTTATTATATTCGTTATGAATGTTATACATATAAATCGTATTCATATAAATGTTGCCTATTATGTTATTTTATTAATTATCAGCTTTTTTTTTTAATAACATGAACGTTCCTGACCACCCCTAAGTTGCCTCTTAACCTTATGAGCCTTTAATGTCTAAATCGCCTATGGAATTGGAGTTATGGCAATGCTCAGCTTAAGACATTTCGAGAATTGTTGTGTACTCAGGCTCTAGGACTCTTTAAGAATGGTGGGAATTGAGTTTGAGCGGAAAAAACAAGTTGAAAAGTCCACATTAGATGAACACAGAGATTTTCCATTGCTTGTGTTGTAATTTCAGATGGAAAGTTAACATCAGCATGGAATATTGTGGTATTCAGTATCAATCCTGGCCACCTTCGTTTTCCCAGGACTGATGTTGAACACCCCCTTGCACCAGATATTCATGTTAGACTAATCTTTCCAACCTGAGTGACTGCAGGATAGCGTTCATGAAGCACGTGTTTCCCAGGTTCCGCAGTCCTGTTGCAGAGAGGCTTCCCACCAGGGTGCCCTAAACCAGGCAGCAGGGACAAAGCACGAGTCAGTATAGCAGTCCCCTGCCAACCGCGAGCTTGCCAACCGCGAAATTCATGTATACACGGTTTATTACCTGTATGCTAATTTACCAGACGCAGCCTGTAAATTCTGAGTATCCACGGGTAAGGCATGGGCACGCAACACGCATTTACACATTCCGCGGGCTCGTGGTTCTCCCCCGCAATGCGTTACCAGGCAAGGTGCAGCTCATGAAACGGAACGAATGAATGTTTTATATGTACACAGAACTTACAAAACTCGCACATCTCCAAATATTTACTTGTAGGTTTTATGTTCAAATTATCTTATGCTTTATTGCACTCATAATATACCGTACTGTATTACCCTTGATTTTACAGTGCTCGAATACATACAAAGATAGGAAGTCTATAGAATGTATATGCATGGAACAATTCACCTCACCCTGTGATTTAAATAACGGTCATGATTCTTGTTCAATTCGGGATAATTGAAGGAAAAAAAACACATTTTCACCCAAATTCTGTACCAAATGTGCTATTGGCATGTCAAAACGAAGGTTTATTCATTCATAACTGTGGCAGAATGCAGTTCACCACAACCACACACCTTTATACAACAGCCTCTGGAAGTGATGTCACAGAACTACTTTTGAGATCCCTCCAATTATATGTATCCACACGAGGGGTGCTGCACTGTGCCATGCACGCCACTATATAGATGTATGTTGTATAGTGAAACCGAGATGTAAAAACAGTCTTAGCATTCTAATTTACCAAATTCATTTAGGGTGCAGTCATTGCTGGTCAGGCTGAGTTATTGTGCTTTTCCTGGATAAATAAGTAAATATCACTAAATTCGAGAACACTGATAATCACAAACGGCTGCCTGGATTTAAATCAAATCTCAGCAGTACCAGCTCAGTGTCCTAACACCTGAGCCACCCGACCAACTCCAAAATCTATGATTATCTGTATATTTTTTTACATGTATAATTTGCATATGTTTTACAAATTAAGACAGATTGTTCCATCAATAACTCTTGAGGGGCAGAGCCAGATCTCTATTTCCCTCATATGCCAGCCTGAACAGGCGAGCTTTGAGCTCACGGTTGAAGTTTGATGGTGCTTGGATGCTGCTGGATGATGAACTGTCCCCACACGTATCCCAATGACTTACGATATGTACTAATTTCCAACTAGTCCATCATAATACCTCGGTGTGCCGGAAATCACATTTAGCCAAACCAATTCCAGTGAATAAAACACATCTTTAACATATTTGGCATGCAGGAATACAGTATATATAAGAAAATTGACATGCCATTTACCGTCATTTAGAATGTTCTATAATATAATAGTAAAATATGAAATTACTGTGCTTTAAATGTTCCTACAGCAAGCAATATGTTAATGGTACCGAAGGGATAGTGGGGGATGCTGGGGAGCAGTGATAGGCAATGGGCAGTGGTTGGAGGGGTGGTTTGGGGGTGGCGGGACCAACGCATCTCTGACCGATGGAAATAATGACAGCACTTTGTGGCACAGCACACACGTACCAAATGTTGTATTGTTTGCCCAGTACACTAAACACACACATGTGCACAACACACACAAATGTACCCTACACTGTACAGTACATAGGGCTGCTGCTGTTGTGTTTTACAATGATTTCAGTTGAAATCACGACAAACCAGACCTTTCAGCGAACCAGGGTTTTTACTGTATTATCAAAATCCATCCCCTTAACATGAGTAATGGTTGCTGTATTATTGCTCGAGGTTCAGAGTTAACATCTAACACTGTTTAGATTCTAAAGGTTAAATGTTATATCTGGAGGCATATTGTTTAAAACCTAAGTTGCTTTGCTGTATTCCTCAAATGTTTAACATCCTACATTTAAAAAATATTACTTTTGTTGCTTGCGATTTGTAACACAGTTGCACAATACCAATCCATTACTCATACGTTACCAATGTATATGTATAATAATGCTAATGATTATTTGGTATCATAAAGTAGTTGTGAGGAAGCCTAATGTCCGCCCTCTGATCTCACCTGGTGCCCTAGTCCAGAACCGAGTAGGAGATTTGGCAAGGCCATGTGCCTCCCATGAAGATATTTTTTTACGTAAATAAGATGAAAATGTGATGAAGTATCTAAGATTATTTACCCTCATATTACTCCAGTTGTCTCATCAAACATATCCCAGTACCATACACATAAAAATGTCATCCATGTTAAACCAGTTGCCATGACAACCACATGAGAGCTAATCAAAACACGTGCTGCTCATTCAACCAAATACATTTCCCATTGTATTCATATATATAAAAAAAATACTGATGTAAGGGATCCCGAGAGGCAAACTCCTATTAGTGAATAAATATATAAATACACGCTCACCATGTGTCTTGTGAGTTTGTACAACACGTTCAACTCTCATTGGCGAACTGTCACGGGGGGAGCCGATATAGGGCACAAGATCCGTTTTGAAGGTGGAGAAAATAAAAAAACACATTGGTCATCATGAGCGGTCAGTTGGGAGACCCGTTTGGAGAAATTAAGCGGAATTGGTGGAGTCATGGAAAGTTCCATAAGTGATGGAGAAGAGAATGATGTGTGACGCGCTGTGAGGAAGCCGTAATAAAGTTGAAGTTCACCACTCACCTGGGCTGGAACTCCTTTACACTAATAATGTGCCATTATTGTCTTCGGATTAAAATGTGTAATAAGAAAATAATGATCGATTACTGCATACATAAGCCCAGTTGCCAACTGCAAGCCCACACGTTACACTTTTAAGAGTCTAAGTTGCACACATGCCCATATTAGATTTAGCTTACATTGAGTTTCATGTGCTTCTTTGAAGGAGATCCTGCATCAGTGCACTTCCGTTTGCCATTCCTGTCATTCAACAGCCTCTCTGAACTGCAGACAGAAAAGGAGTAGTATTATACATCAAAGTTAGGGAATTTCAGAATTAAAAAAAATACTTATCAATGTAAGGCTGAGCCTTTTATATGCAGTGCCTTTCACCATGATAAATTAGGGTTTTCATCATCTCGGTAAAAACTTTTTTTTCCAGTCAATGTTGCTGTCCACTTTTATTATTGGAAACATTTGGCAAAATCCCACGGGGCCATGGACCCTCTGTCCCCGCCACCTGACAACCCACTCCCGACCCAGAACCCCTCCCTATATTTTTTTGCAGAACACAAGGTTCAGGTTAGAGAAACACGAAAACAAGCAAAAATATGCACACCGTCCTGAACATAACGCAAGAACAGCTTGGAGAGGAGTAAATGGAGAGATCACACCCCCCCCACCTCCATTTCCCGACGTGAAGAAACCCCTTGTGCCACACTCCCTGTGAGGAGACTCTCCGGAGCAATGTCTCCTGCCCAACCCGCGGAGCTCGATGTGGGGATGGATGGGTAGGGATCCTAGTAGGCGCGGCATTGACTGGAAAAGTGAGGTTTTACTGAGGTACAAAACCTACTTTTTTTCATTACAAATCTGCTGTCCACCGATCTTCTTATTATATACATATAATAGCCCAGAAATGTGTGTCCCGCACGTGACGTCAGTCCACATGCCGTACCCCCGCCCCACCCCCGTCATTAATAATACAATAATCATGAGCGGGTGGATATTTACACTCACGCGGAAGAAGGTCGAGCGGAAAGATATACAGTAAAACCTTGGATTGCGAGCATAATTCGTTCCGGAAACGTGTGTGTAATCCAAAGCACTCGTATATCAAAGCACTTGTACATCAGTTGTGATCACGTGACGCTCAGCAGAGAAAGCGTAGACGTACTACTCGTATTGCAAGACCTCGCTCGTTTATCAAATTAATATTTATTTAAAAAAATTGCTCGTCTTGCAAAACACTCGCAGACCAAGATACTCGCAATCCAAGGTTTTACTGTATATTTTTTCGCAATGTTGCTTCAAATATGACGTTTCTTTACAGAAAGTGATGGTAAAAAATGAATCTAAGCAGCACAGTGCTACATCCGTGCATGACGTCACTGCAAAAGAGCCCCCCCCCTTCATTAATATTCATGTCCGCATGGAAATTTACACCAACGCACAAGCTCGCACACTCTACATGCCGCACCGCTCCCCTCATTAATAATCATGAGCGGGTGACGTCCTCCACATGCTGCAGCCCTCCACAATAACCATGAGGGGGTGACGTCACTCCACGTGCCGCACCCCTCCACAATAACCATTAATGGGTGACGTCACTCCACATGGGGCAACCTCCCCCCTCATTAATAATCATGAGCTTAACAATTTTCCATTGAATATTTCAGATTTACTGCAATATACACCCGTCCTTGGACGGGCAAAAAAGCTAGTTATATACATATCAGCAATTAGCAACACTTGCCAAAATTTCGATTTAAAGCTTTCGTGACTGCAATGATTCATCTTCTTTGGTTCTTTCGGTAAAGTCACGTAGAATGAGAATAAAATAATAAATTGATAAAACTTGCCAAGTTGAAGCACCAGAGGAGGGCCAGGACTTCCTTACACGGCTGCGAGGTGAGTGTATCCAACCAGTTATGCCGGGTAAATGTGTGGGGTGAATTCCATGTTGCCGCCTTGCAGACTGCCTCCAATGGCACATTGACGGCTCTCGCGCACAAGGCTGTGACTGCGTTGGTGGAATGTGCCAAGGTTATTTTTCCCTGCATCCTCTGTAGCAACATGCAACGCAATCTCTCAGCCACATAGATAGCCTAAACCTTTGAGGCTGGCTGTGCAAATCCCAACGTAAGACCCGACCCTCCTGGGTGGAATCCTCCAACCCGGAGTTGGCAGAGGAACCCGACAAGTTCCTTTTCCTGTGGCGGAGTTCACTTTGCACTGATTGCTGCGGAAAGCTTGAGCAACTTGTGCCTACAGAACTGCATCCAGGAGATCCCAGCGACGTCCTCCGAAGCGGAGGTTGTTGTTGATGGGGGAGCACCTAACTTTTCCACAAGCCCTGACGACGCGGATGCCGAGGATCCTCCACATCACCGACAATGGTGCAGGCACGTTGTCTGTGCTGTTTGGCGAGGTTCCCCATCGCACCAGTGCCGACTGAGGACGGAAGAGTATGATGACGGCGAGGGGCAGAAAAACCACCTTCCGTCTCTTCTCACGATGGCGGTGTCTGGTCCGTGTCCTCTTGCAGAGCATTGATGAGGGCCTGAATATTCCTGGGAGACCAGGGCTCTTCAAAACTGAACGTGCCCCAATTGCAGGCAGCCCACACATCAGGAGGTGTTTGCCAGTGCTGTACCACCCTGCCCGACACAGAATCAGCACGGTGGGCGAAGCAGTCCTACCCCGAGGCATTGAGGTTGCCTCGACTGGGACTGCACAAGCGCACATGCGTCTGCGAGTGCCCGAGAGGCCGGTGCTGGGCACTTTAGTGCACACGCCACACGCGATGGGTACTTCGGGGTATGCCTGCCGGGCACCTCTGTATATGCATCTTGCACGCACGACATGTGCATGTACCCGGTGAGAACCCGGTGAGCTCAGACGATAGCCTCGCGTGGACGGCAGGCAGACCTGTCGGCCACGCCCGTGCTCTCGCCACGCGTGTCACTAGCCATTGCGCCACCAGGCTAAACCTGGAAGAGCCGGGTGAGTCGCGCAATGGCTCACCTCGAGCCGGTGTGCGGCGAGCTGTCCCAGACGAGCGAGCGCTGCCCTCAGAAGGGTCGGGCGCTGTCTCCCCCACCAACCACTGTAAGACCACACTGCCCGGGGGCTGCATGCTGCACCGACTGCCTTTCTGGGCATCAGGTGTTGAGCCGGAGGGTGACCTCGCGCAGAGGCTAGTGACCCAGCCACAGCAAGGCCAGGCGACCAGCCAGTAAGGATGGATGTGGACTTGTTGCCCCGACCTCAAACCGATAAAACGCCTGACATGGGGGTCAAGGCGCTTGAGCTCATGGCCAAATTGGCAGCGTCCGAGGGTGGATTTAGAGATAGTAAAGAGAAAGACACTGAATCTTGTCCTCCCTCACTTTAACTTTTTAGTTCATGGTGGCAGTAGCCTTTGCTGCACCCACTCACTCCGTGCAGAGACGAAAGTGGGTGAGGAGTTCTGGGTAGAGGGGGTAGGTAAGTAAGGAAGCAGGGGTGGGGGTTCACCCCCCCAGAGCCTTCTGTGCACACATTCCGTGGCACTGTGGGTTATACAAAATGTAAATTATAAGAAGACTGGTGGACGGAAGAATTGCAATGGAAAAATGAATAACGCTCACTTAACATTCGTCCGATATGTAGCAATTAAAAAAATGTCGAATGCAATGTGGTGGTGATTGCGGAGCCAGCCAGTCTTGGTAACATTTACAAATCTAGGATTAAAAATGTATTTTGTAAACAAATGTGATCAAACCTATTTATCATTCATCATGCTGCACCAAGCAACCAGCCCATGAGGTGCGGCCTATCAGTGACTGAATTTATAAAATGGGGTAACCCAGTACTACGTGGACTTGGGGAATCTCTTGATTAAATCTGTGGTTTCCACTATAATGTTGTTGTCCATGAAAGGGTAAACTAGAGACATGTGTTGTGCACAGGCAGCTGCGTCAGTCGTAAATCACTTCTCAAGGCTCTGCAGGTGCTCGCGGAGCCGCTGGACCGAGCCCAGCTTGTTGTCGTTCACCACAAAGTCATCACATCTGTAACTACAAGACACACATAAACACACGCACAGAGGAATGCACTTATGCACAAACAAACTAAATGGGTGCATTACACATGCCAGGACACAAAATACATTTGCATGCGGCACAGCATGCACATCTGTTGTCATCTCTTAAACAGTCAAAATGCATATCAGAGTTCTAGTCTACTTATCATGATTCCAAAATAAATATTATAACAGCGTCCGTGGCTCCCACTCATTTTCAACAAAATGTGCATACATTAACAGTTAATAATAAAAGAGAGTTTGAGACAGAATGAAACCTGCACTTAAAGAGCATATGTATAATAACTAGTGATGCAAGCCAAAGAAGTGATACAACTTTAAAGCTGTAATTTTCCTTTAAACACAATCAATGAATAAACAATATTAGCAGATACAGGCACTGACAAGATAGTACACACACATGACCCAAATAGAAACATAACTTTACACCAAATTATTGGTCATGTTGGACCGTCTTTATGAGTTACCGTGACCCCACGATATCAACAATGGACAGAATGATAGACAGAATTAATGCGTTCACACTTTCAAACTCGAAAAGGATACAAAATATTACAATTATGTGCCAAATACTTTGAACACAAACATATAGCAATTGGTCATAACATGAAGAATAACATTCAAATTACGTTAAATAACAATAAACGAAGTGAATTTAACTTTAAGCATGACATAGCCAATCAATTCAGCAGTGTCAGGGTAGAAGCGGTTGAAAACTCAAACAAAAAATGCATAAGATGATATCACAGAGGGCACATGTGACATCACATATAATGCTGTCATCATGACGGAAGGCGTGCATGATGTGTGATGTTATTGTTTCGGCCAATATAGCGTACCCATTAGCACTGGCTTTTTTATCATCAAGTATTTAGTAACCCTTTAATCAATTTGACCCGAATAGCAACACACTTTACTCGAGTTATTGTGATCCCCTGTTAGAGACAGAGCAAATGCAACTTTGGGTGGAAAACTTTACAACCACAAGGCCACACACTGTTTGAGTAATCACATATCCTCTAGCTAGTCAAGTTTAAAAGTTAAATCTTCTCCTGATCCTGTAACTGTCATTTGCAGACTTTTGTGAATGTATCAGCATTACAACACGGAATTATTGTGATATGTTTGGGATTCCTCTTGTACCTCAAGAATCAAAATTAATACAAGGATGAGCAACTTACCAAAATGTACAAAAAAAATCTAATTTCCCAGAATGCTATTTGTTATATTTTAGAGTGCACAAAATGCCAATAGTTTGTCGCCACTAGGGCAACAAATGAAGTTTACTACAAGGGTGCTAAATGGTAAATCTCACCCACAAACTGGCACTTTTGTAAATCAGATTTTATCTCAAAAACAAAAAACAATAAAAGGTTGAGCTCCTGTGCACATGGTAGGTCTCTGGCGTATACGGCCATGGTGGCAAGATGGTGCCATAGATGTCAAAGCTAATTCAACATACATATGCTAAGGGAACGTCCATAAATGATGTCACGCGATTTTGGATGATTATTGCCCCCCCCCCTTCATCACACGGCGTCACAAAAAATCAGATCCCCCCTCAAAAATGACGTCACAAAGCTCTGCCCCCCCCCCCCAAATAAAACATGCTTGAAATCGCTTTAAACTATTGTAATTGTAGTGCATATTTAATGTGGCGCTGTACTCTGATGTTGTAGGAGAAAACATTTATTAAAAAAGTCTATTTAATTAAGTAGAACGTGTTGTCTATATTTATTTAAAGTTGCGCATTTTGATGTGACGTCACATTTCTCAAACCCCCCCCCCCTCGTCACACATCGTCACAAATGTCTGACCCCCCCCGCCCCCCAGGTACGTGACGTCATTCATGGACGGCCTCTAAATATACATTTTATTCATACTTTAATATTGCAACAGTTCTGGCAACACATTTATCTGTATCCTTTTAACTCGTTATAAGGTAAGGTTTGCGGGATACCAGTGCCCATATCTCAAGCTGGAGGAGACCCTTCAGCGTCAAAGATGCTCGGGACAACAAATGCCCCAGATCCCTCTTGCAAATGAGGCTGTCCTGGTCTATCACATTCTAACCTGGTTAATCAAATTAAACTTGAGATTGAATGGGCGTTATTATACAGTGATTTAATGCCATGGGGACTGACACTAGCTAACTCTATTCACTTTCAAAGTTTGCATTAAACACAAGTAGTCTGATTACACTGATATTATTGAGAATATAAAACTGACAGCATGCCACAACATCTGTATCAACACTTTGCGGTGCAATCGCAGGCACCTAAAGCATGTAGGTATATTGAACTTCTTTCGCACCATACGTAGCCAACTGTGCTAATCGGAGCACGATTAATAACTCATGCTGCAGCGTCGTCCTATCATTACTTTGCGTCATTTTAAATTATACTCTACGTATCAGACACCACTAATTTGTTGGAAAGTAAGCCAACCAGAAAAGGTACAAGGAACATGTGTACTGTGCGAATACACGTGTCATCTTTAACCCTGTGCATGTTTACCTGGTCAAAAAGGAACAAGTCACCTGCTTACACTTTATTTCACCTGTTCTTGCGCCAGTTATAGGCACTCCCATTACTATCTGTATGGTCACATATACTTGACTTCTCCCCGCTCTTATCTATTCTGCACCTCACTTATCCTGCACTCAGCAACTCTGTCAGCGACTCCGCACACAGCAGCTCTGCACTTAGCGACTCTACACACAGCAGCTTCACACTCAGCAACTCTGCATCTCCACCGCTGCCCTCACCTACGCTACCTCATACCCGCTCACCCGTCTGTCCCGGGCGGGGGGTTCAACCAACACCCGCCCGGCGACGGCGTGAGGGTTGAGGTCCCGTTGACGGCTGGAGCGGCAGCGGCGAGATGTCTTCACTCTTGGTTCCCGGCAACAACTCCCCTCCGCTTACGCACACTCCCCTTTTTTATTCCCCCTCATTCCAAGTCCTCACGTGCTCCCTCAAGCTGCCGCCAGTTGTCCCATTAATCCCTTATCATCACCCCCCCATCTCCCGTCTCTTCGACGCCAACCTCCGGTCACAGCGTACCCACCTGTTCGACCTCAGTTGCACCCGCTTCTCCCCTTAATTACTGGCGGTTTGTCGGTGCAAACCTCATGTTGCAACGCACGCATCTGTTTGACCTCAATTGCACCCGCTTAACAGCGCGCACCGCGTATATCTCTCCTCTACACATGTTTTAGCAGGTGTCTGCATATTTAACTTCATATGGTGCTTGTTTTCTCATTAATTTTGTATACTATATGAAATATCATTTGGCTATGACAAATAAGTTTTGCAAATCTGAAAATAATGATGTGTGCATTGCGAACCAAAACAGATTTTTAAAATAAAACTGCCAATAAATAAGTAAAATAATTTAACAAGCTGAACTTTAAACCATTTTAAATCAATTTAAGATACCTCTACAGCCATTTGTCCAGGATATGTATAGGTCTATAAATATGCAGAAAGCTACCTATTAATAATAACACTATCTTAAAAGGGGAGTGGAGTGATAGCGCAGTGGTTAGGATTGTGTGCTAAGAACCCAAGTTCAATTCTGTACCATGGCTAGAATCAGTAGTGAGTGAACCAGTCCTAGCCCCCCCACCCCCCCCCCCCATCTGCCTCTCTAGGTGCCATGTCCTTTCTCAAAGATGTTGGTGATCATGGCCTATTTAGCACTATATCCCAACCTGCAATGACCATCATGGTGAAGTGTGATCAAACAGCCCTAATGACCAATACAGAATAGGGAGCCCTTCATTCAGTTGTGGATTGAAAAAAGGACAAATTATTAAACAAATAACTCACAAATTATTTGGTGATACAGCGTTGGCAGTGGTGCAGCAGCAAAAATAACAAAATACTCACGTTAGTCAATAACACTATATTAAAAGTAAATATATATTACGTAGATTGTTTTGTTTCCTTTTAAGGCAGTGTTATTAATGAATGTTTTTTTTTATGTTTGTGGAATCTCAATACAAAGGACATTACTACAAAATAATTTCATGTTATCTTCCTATTTTTCAAACATGAAAAATAACAGAGCTGGGCTACCTGATTAAATGTGTAATAAATTACTCCCGATTCTAAGTTTGATAACTTGGCTTATCAGATCAATTTAAAATATTTTGGGGAAAAGGTCTCACCTCTGTTCCTACATGTGCCACTGGATGGGACGTGATGGGAAGGAAGAGCTTCGAATACACCATGGCGTGGTTTGTAAAGTGTTTATCACTTTCAGGAGGCAGGATGTGAGAGTTGCCAACATTTTAAATTGGCCAGGTAATCGACCACAAAAAGTAGTCGATTATAATATGTAGCTGATTCATCTTCTTTGGTTCTTTCGGTAAAGTAACGTAGAATGAGAATAAAATAATAAAATAAAACAATAAAATTCTCACGATGTGAGAATTTGAAGAAGGCCACTTGTGTTGTGGCCGAAACGTCGTGAGAATTTTATTGTTTTATTTTATTATTTTATTCTCATTCTACGTTACTTTACCGAAAGAACCAAAGAAGATGAATCCTTGCAGTCACGAAAATCGAAAAGTAGCTGATTATTCAACTTATTCGACAAAGAATCTCAGCTTTCAAAAAAAACCCTGCAGAAAACAACACAGTGAACGTTGCCCACTTGTCTGGGTATGTAAACTTGTGTGGACATCGCGGGAAATTACTTTCCTTACTGAAAACACGACGCCATCTTGCACTTGAGAAACTGTTGCTTACGGGAAGTATTTTATTTAGAAATGTTTCTGTGTAAGACAAATCGTTTCACCGGAAAACATTACTGCTGTTTATATGTGCACACAGTGTACGCAGCTCCAACTGCAGTTGAAGGAGTTTTGTTGCATGACCAAAACAAGAAAGAACATTTCATTTACACTAGCTGGTCTTTTAAAATCGTGAGCACTGCATAGGTTGAAATCATATAATTCTAAAAAGGTCACACCACAAATAGATACAGAATTACTATAAGCTGCTGTCTTAACACCACAAATAGATACAGAATTACTATAAGCTGCTACCTTAACACCACAAATAGATACAGAATTACTATAAGCTGCTGTCTTAACACCACAAATAGATACAGAATTACTATAAGCTGCTGTCTCAACACCACAAATAGATACAGAATTACTATAAGCTGCTGTCTTAACACCACAAATAGATACAGAATTACTATAAGCTGCTGCCTCAACACCACAAAAAGATACAGAATTACTATAAGCTGCTGTCTCAACACCACAAATAGATACAGAATTACTATAAGCTGCTGTCTTAACACCACAAATAGATACAGAATTACTATAAGCTGCTGTCTCAACACCACAAATAGATACAGAATTACTATAAGCTGCTGCCCCAACACCACAAATAGATACAGAATTACTATAAGCTGCTGTCTCAACACCACAAATAGATACAGAATTACTATAAGCTGCTGTTTCAACACCACAAATAGATACAGAATTACTATAAGCTGCTGCCCCAACACCACAAATAGATACAGAATTACTATAAGCTGCTGCCTTAACACCACAAATAGATACAGAATTACTATAAGCTGCTGTCTCAACACCACAAATAGATACAGAATTACTATAAGCTGTTGCCTTAACACCACAAATAGATACAGAATTACTATAAGCTGTTGCCTTAACACCACAAATAGATACAGAATTACTATAAGCTGCTGCCCCAACACCACAAATAGATACAGAATTACTATAAGCTGCTGCCTTAACACCACAAATAGATACAGAATTACTATAAGCTGCTGTCTCAACACCACAAATAGATACAGAATTACTATAAGCTGTTGCCTTAACACCACAAATAGATACAGAATTACTATAAGCTACTGCCTCAACACCACAAATAGATACAGAATTACTATAAGCTGCTGTCTCAACATCACAAATAGATACAGAATTACTATAAGCTGCTGCCTCAACACCACAAATAGATACAGAATTACTATAAGCTGCTGTCTTAACACCACAAATAGATACAGAATTACTATAAGCTGCTGTCTCAACACCACAAATAGATACAGAATTACTATAAGCTGTTGCCTTAACACCACAAATAGATACAGAATTACTATAAGCTGCTGCCTCAACACCACAAATAGATACAGAATTACTATAAGCTGTTACCTTAACACCACAAATAGATACAGAGTTACTATAAGCTGCTGTCTCAACACCACAAATAGATACAGAATTACTATAAGCTGCTGTCTTAACACCAAATAGATACAGAATTACTATAAGCTGCTGTCTTAACACCACAAATAGATACAGAATTACTATAAGCTGCTGTCTTAACACCACAAATAGATACAGAATTACTATAAGCTGCTGTCTCAACACCACAAATAGATACAGAGTTACTATAAGCTGCTGTCTCAACACCACAAATAGATACAGAATTACTATAAGCTGCTGTCTCAACACCACAAATAGATACAGAGTTACTATAAGCTGCTGTCTCAACACCACAAATAGATACAGAATTACTATAAGCTGCTGCCTCAACACCACTGGCAATATAACATTGTGAGGAAATTGAATTTTCTGAGAAACTGCTGCACCAATAATTCGACTGCATTACAACATTCAGAATAAATAAGTTTCTTGCAAAGGAAAAAAAAAGCATCATTCTAACCGCAGACTTCAAGGCCAATATTTGCCATTTGGATTTGTGCAACAAAATAGATGAAGGCCAATACTCTATTTTCATCATTAATCAGCCAGGCTGCAGTTCCATCCTCAACCTCCTGGATATATTCAACCTCACCTTTATTTATCCTTAAAATTATAATGAATGTTTTTACTAACTTACATCTTATGAACAATACGTTAATTTTATCAGATGTGTATCCGTTATGTAAATGTACTACAATATTTGATTGAACACATCCAATTTTACCGGGCTGTATAATGGTCAAATAATTGGGTGCATTCTAAAAAAGGGTCTCTACTGAACAACAATTTTACAACCACTGATAACTTAATGATTATGTTGCATGCCAAGCAGGAGCTGGAGGAATTACTGTCGACTTTGGGGTATTCCATTAAAACATGAGGCCTAATAAACCGCACGGCAAATAGAGCCCCGGCCCTCCGTATGCGGCAACACACCACTCTCGTTTCTTTGCCATGACTGATGAGTTGATTGTTGAAATGCAGAAGGCATTTCTATGTTAGGGCATATGCTGAAGCGTGGTTCTGGTCTCTTAATGCAGAATGAAAGTTTGCAGACTAAAGTTTTCCTCAGCCATATTTGTTTCTGTCCTATTGTATTCCTTACATGTGGACCCATCTACACTAGCAATTACACTGCCTTAGAACTGTCAGAATGACCTACCTAATAATAAGTACATGTTTAAGTACATGTTTATAGCGTGCGGAAAATTCAATCAGCAACTTGCTAATGCAAATCTCAGTTCATCTCGGTTATCAGGTTCAAATGTGTGATAATGTATGACACCACTAATGAGTAGCATGCCAGTTAATAAATTTAATACTGGTAGGAACCTTCTGGTTACACCAGCCCACAGGGGATTATTGTGTCCATCCGTCCATCGTGCATCCAAAAATGAGGGGTGGGGCTGGGTGAAGAGGGGAGGGTGGGGAGGGGCTGGGTGGGGAGGGAGGGGCTGGGTGGGGAGGGGAGGGTGGGGAGGGGCTGGGTGGGGAGGGTGGGGCGTGGGAGGGGTGGGGCTGGGTAGGGAGGGGCTGGTCACCCCGTGGTGCCCTTATAAAACTCAACGTGTAACCTACTCACGTCGGCTTGTGCCCGCCCTCACAGTCGGGCATATTTGCGGAATACACCACGTGGTGGTGCCGCCGTTGACCCTGGCCATTGACCGAGCAACCCAACATTCCAACCAGCTCCCTCCGCTGGAATGTGTTAGCTTTACATTACCTTAAATTCTGGGCAATGCAGTTGATACCCTGGCATATACCTGTAATCCAACAACTCAGAAGCTAGGTTGGTTATTTCTGTAGAATAAGTGTGACCCCCCCCCACCCAACTGCAAGTTAGTGAGGTGGCTGCAAAAACGTGAGGCATTGTTGCTCAAGTAGTTATTATATTGCAAATTTGATATATGGACAGTGTGTTTGTCAGATATGCAAGGTTGTGAATGTTTGGTTTTACAGTCTATATGCTTATCAACCAAGTACCCAAACTGTGTTTTTTGGGGAACAGCACCAACATAAGGCAGCTTAGGCTAAGTGCAAGTACTTATACGGCACAGGAAGACCTGGGATCAAGAGTGAGTATTGCTAATTGTGTAGTCACAAGCAATAACTGGGTGATTAAAAATATATTTTAAAGCCAAACGGAAGGTGAGGTCATATGCTGGCTAATCCTGTCTCCCAGCTCAAAAGTGTGGCTCTGCCCTGTACCCGACCTTTTGCTTCTCTATGAAGACTCAAAGCATACCACAGCCGGTACCGCTGCAACAGTGATGATACTACCAATGAGTAATATAATAATACAAGAGTTACAACCCTTGGTCAATCCAATGCTAGATGAAGGCATCCATATACTTCACCACACTAGTCAGTGTGGGTTGGTGAAGAAGGCTAGGATGAGCAGACCACGCTTTCCCACCTGATGAGGGACGCTTGTGTTTCGCCCGAAACGTCGTGATTTATTTTAAACCTACGTGACTCTACCGAAAGAACCAAAGAGTATATAGAAGGTTATTATTGCATAGTATGTATTAGATATGTCAAGTGACCTATACAGTGAGGGAAAAAGTATTTGATCCCCTGCTGATTTTGTATGTTTGACCACTGACAAATAAATTATCAGTCTATAGTTTTAATGGTAGATTTATTTGAACAGTGAGAGACAGAATAACGGCAACAAAATCCAGAAAAACGCATGTCAAAAAATGTTATAAATTGATTTGCATTTTAATGAGGGAAATAAGTATTTGACCCCTCTGCAAAACATGACTTCATTTCTTTGTCAGTGGGCAAACATACAAAATCTGCAGGGGATCAAATACTTTTTTCCCCTCGCTGTATGTAGTGCATGTCCAAGCAACAAGAGCGACGTATAATCTGACCTGTGTATCCAACGTAACTTGTGTGCACGCCAGCAAGGTAAACCACAAGTACTGATGGGAAAACACCGGTGTGCTCTTCTGGAATGTATTTGAGCAGTGTGTGTTTAAATCCCAAACACTTCACACCTTACATATGCAGTCTACGTAAAATACTTCAAAAGCATTTCAGGTCGTGCCCTGTACACAACATGTGTCAAATTCAAAGCTTTCAGAGCACTGTGTATGGAGTGTGCACAGAGTAGGTGTGTGTGTGTGTGGAGTAGCCCATATTCAGTCATCACCAAATGCCCTGTATGCAATGTCTGCTGAGCCCATGTACAATGTGTGCCGAGTGTCCTGTATGCAGTGTGCCGTAACTCCCCAATTAGAGTTGGTCAAGCACCTCGTGTTCAGTGAGCACCGAGTGTCCCATGTGCTGCGAGTGCCGAATAACGCGTGTAGACAGTTAGTGCTCTGTGAATCCGCTACCAAAAGGCGCTGTAACTGTTGCAGTCCATGCAGACAGCATGCGGCTCTGTCTCCTTGTCTCCTTTGCGAGCGTCTCGGCTGCCTGCGTGCGCCTCCTCATAGTGCCGCTTGGCATGTCCGTTGACATACCTGGGGTGGAACGGACATGAGCCAACAGTGTACAGTTACCAGTCAAACCAACAGTGAGTGATGATTTCACAAAAGGCTCAATGCACATTTGTACCGGACCAAACAGCCGCATTTACATGCAAGTCACACAAAAGCATTACCACCCATGGTTGCTGATGGTATCTCCATCTGTCTACTCCTTTAAGATGTAGGCTAAATTGCCACGTCATTGACAAGCAAAAATAATCAATGTAGGTCTAAAACTAGTTTGAATGGGTAAACCAAAATGAAGCCAAAATAAACAATTTCAACTACATATTTTACAAATACAAATCATAACTTAATTAACAAGACCTACACTATTGTAACTCCCATGGTGAGGTTCACAGACATAATAAATAAATTACTTATTTATCCATAAAATCCACAATGAGTCGTAGGACTTTTTTTTGTGGAGGGTCCTGCATTGGGTTTTATATTTGACGATGTTGTCAGTCAATTAGGTATAAGTGGGAGGAAACCAGAGCACCCAGAAAAAACCCCACATGCGCGAGGATGCAACACTATCCCCGCACAGATGAAAACAGATGGCCATTAATCCACTCGCTGTACTGCCTTCTCCTTTTCTGCCATCCACCAAACCAAGCCTCCACAGTGACGGAGTACAGGCATGCACCGCCACCGCCCAAACATTTGTGACGTTCTGAAAAGAGGGACCCCCCCGCCCCAGCCCCAAAGAGCAACATGGGGCAAAAGAGAGCCGACCATGCTGATGCTCTGGGGCCTTTTGCCTCATTTCCACATCTACTCGGGTTCTGTTGGGCCTGGAATGACCATGGAAGAGCACCACACAGAGCCTGTTGCTCCCCATACTCAACAGCAATGAAGCATCACGGGCTCTGACGTTCCTACCCTGTCCATATCCCATTTTTCTTACCCTCTGCAGTGAGGGGGTGGTGATTTTGAAGTGATCTTACTAACACAATATTTATGATGAAATTTAGTGCAGTATACATAGTTTAGCTTAGGCTAATGGAAGTAGAAAAAAAACACGTTTTTTTGTACCGTCAGTGTGCATGCATGGATTCCAGTCACTTCATGACATCCCAAATGGCTTGAGGGTCAGCTTAAGGTAAAAACTGGTAATCATGCTCCCAAAACAAGCTGCCGTGGAGACGAACGATCTCTGGCTCAGCCTGTTTCCACCCTGGTTCTGGCTGTCTCCATGGCTAGTGGTCATGCAAACAGGGCACCAGAGGTTGGGAGAAGCATTAGCCACTATTTGGCTTGCTGATGTGCTCTCTGTCAAGCAGTTGCAACAGACCCGAGACTAATGCAGGTGTACACTGATATGTCATTTCGATTTATGATTATTCGTGAATACAGTCATCTTAAATTTACACTTTTTTCTGGTTTACGTTTTGTTAATTTCACTATCAACTTTTTTTTATTGTAAATTATATTTTTGGTGGAAAAAATATACAATTCCTATAGTAAATGCACGTTGTCGTTTGTCCACGCATACATATTGTACGGTTCCAGGCCGTTTTAGCTGGTCAAGCCACGTCGAGGTCTCCCACGATTTACGAATATTCGATTCATCAATTTTTGCGTAAACGCAACTGACAAATTATGGACACTTTTCGATTAGCGAAATTTCCACGTGTAAGAAATTGCACAATGCACGTGCCATGTGATCAAACAAGAGGCACCGAGGAGGTGTGCATCATACATCCGTGGTAATGTCACGATATCACTACAGTGCAACAGTAATGCCTTCACATCACATTTCCAGTCATTCCAACATGTATATCATTTGGCGAGTTACCGGAAAAGGTAAAACAAATATTAGAATTACCGTATTTTCCCGCATATAGCCCGCATACGCATTTACTGTGCCCCGCAAAAATAGCGTTTTGTGTAAAACAAATTTCATATACCCCGCAGCGTCTTGTTTTGTTTGTAAAAAGTGGTATACCCCGCGTGTTATATGCGGGAAAATACGGTATTCATTTTTTTAAAATAAAAGTATCTTTATCGAACAAACAATTCAGGTAGAGAGCTTGTATGGGAATTCACACCAGTACCGATCCCCACTCGCGCACAACAGCAGTGACGATTAAATGAACCGGTCCTGGGCCTCCCCTAGGTAGACTCAGCCTAGAATGAGTACCTGGTGTGGTGTATTAACATCACCACTGGGGAGACAAAGGCGGCAGGGCATGGCGTTGGCCACCCACCCCCTCGTGTGCCGTGCCAACCTTCATAGATGCTGGCTAATAGCACTTGCCCCAAGTCTATTAAGGCTATACGGGGGGTCTTTGTCTTTGTGGGGAGCGGTTGTGTAGCGGTTAGCACGCTGCCGTCTTTGTGTTTTTTTGTGCACAATTGTGGTTACTCATTGTGCCCCTTCCAACAAGCAAACCTGCATCATGACTCAAGGCAAGTGAAAATAAAACAGATTTTTGTTCGATTTATAATAACTTTAGTTCATGTTTTATTTACTACAGTATTTTTTTACAGTGTTACATGCAAACGTACAATATTTCTTATTTATGAGTTTAACAATGCTTCCATTTTTTGTTGAACCATAACAAATTGTATAACACTGGCCGTATGGGCATTGAAATACAGTACATTGTTGTGTTCCGACTTACGAACAGGTCCCAGGAACGAATTATGCTGAATTATGCTCGTAAGTCGACGACTGCCCGTAGTTAAATCTCATGTGCATTCCACCACGCTTTCGACTGTACGTACTCCCTAACAGGGGGAGTCGGACACTCCTCGAGCACCTCGCTTACTCTCCCAGTCACCCCTGGCATGACACGAACCAGCTTCTGGTTAGTAAATTACAGTGTACAGAATTTTAATTCACCTGTCTTGTTAATATTCTCAATATTTATGCATGAACATATCTTAGTTGTGAAGTGTTATTTTAGTTGGGTTTGGGTCAGAAAATACTTTCCTAGACATGCATCTTAGGTTATGTGACCTTATGGGAAAATAAATTGTCGATATAGGATTTTCGCTGTACGTTCAAGAAAGCAACCTATACGTATAGAGGTACGCCCACAGTATTTACTGTAACAACTACCACGGCATTCCCCTATACTGGGAATGCACCAAACAATGAATATTAAATACTATTTTGTCAGACATGTCAAGAAACTTTTGGAATACAAATTGAGGTTGCTCCAATTATCTGTCTCTTCTACAGAAGATGAACTTTGTCAATGTTGATGACAATATGAAGCGGCCAGTAGGCTTTGATTAGTTACTCATGCCTTTCAGCACCTAGGACTTAATGATTTTAACACATTCCTGCGGAGGGAGCTGGTAGGAACGTTGGGTTGCTCGGTCAATGGCCAGGGTCAACGGCGGCGTGGTGTATTCCGCAAATATGCCCGACTGTGAGGGCGGGCACAAGCCGGCGTGAGTAGGTTAAACGTTGAGTTTTATAAGGGCACCACGGGGTGACCAGCCCCTCCCCACCCACCCCCCACCTAGCCCCAGCCCTCCCCACCCAGCCCCACCCTCCCCACCCAGCCCCACCCTCCACACCCAGCCCCACCCTCCCAACCCAGCCCCACCCTCTCACTCTGCCCCACCCTCCCCACCCAGCCCCACCCTCCCCACCCAGCCCCACCCAGCCCCACCCTCCCAACCCAGCCCCACCCTCCCAACCCAGCCCCACCCTCCTCACCCAGCCCCACCCTCCTCAACCAGCCCCACCCTCCTCAACCAGCCCCACCCTCCTCACCCAGCCCCACCCTCCCCAGCCCCTCCCCAGCCCCTCCCCACCCAGCCCCACCCCTCCCATTTTTGGATGCACGACGGACGGACACAATAATCCCCTGTGGGCTGGTGTAACCAGAGGTTCCTACCAGTAAAAAAAGTTGTATATATGTAGTTAAACAACATTGTTTACATTGTTCTACATTCTCATTTTGATTCCAATCTCATTTCCAGGATACAATGACATTTCCCAGAAAACCTTGTAGTTGTGGAGTTAATCAAGATATATGTATCAAATACTGAGCAAATACACTTCATGGATAACATACAGAAAGATAATTAGATCAAGTAACAGTAACAAAATAAACTATATTTTTCATCTACTCCAAATCAATATTATTAACATCAGTGTAGTTTAAAATCGTTAAACATTTTAAACATTAATATTATCTTCAAAAATACACATGCTTTACATAACATTTGTACATGTGCTAAATAAACGTAAAAAAATGTAAATTGGCGATGGTTCAACACACGCAAACAATTTGTGCAAAATTTGACCAGCCTCTCGAAAAATGTGTTCAATAACAGAAATGTGCAAGATGCACAAATAAAAAAAGACATCAGTGGAGGGGCAACAAAAAACATTCCTGGACAAAATTCCTGAACACTAAGTGGTGCTTGTGCATGCATTTCAAATTTTAATGTTATGGACTTAATCCGATGTGAGCTGTGGGCATAGATGCAAAATATTAACGAATACGAGATTCACTTTTTCATCACGTATGTATTTTAAATAGAGTTCATGTTATTTATCCCTTATATGAACATGCAATTTTATATCACAGAATAAATAACCAGAGAAAATGTCATGAGAAATTATACACACTGGAATCCTTACTTATCTGTATGCAGCAACGATAGGTCCAATGATTCTCCATAAATCAGAGCTACAGGGAAGGTTAAAGTAGGTTGCTATATGGAAGGTCAAACAGGCCTGAGATGAATTCACATTTTAATGTGTCCCTAAAGTATATTTCGACGTGCCTAGAGAGAATGTCGGGGGTGTGGTGATGCAGTGGATAGCGCACTTTTAGAAGGACCGGTGAAAGGAGTGCAATTGCCCGCCACGGCTAACATCAATAGCTAGTGATGTCTGCACCGATCCTGGGCTCTCCTTCACGAGTTTGCACTGACCAGCATCGTGCAGTCTCGGCAAAACAACCCCCAGGGCCGATTCGGCATGGGGAGCCCTTCATCCAGCAGTAGCTAAAGGTTCGTAAATAATGTTTGTTATAATAACAGTTAATGCAAACACAACTACCTAAATAAAATATACTATTCATACACTATGTAGGACACACAATTACAATATGAAAAACATAATAAATAATTGAGAATCCTTTGTAAATCCTCTGTTGGATGAAGCCCTATGCACTTCTTGTCAATAATGGGGGTTGTTTGACCATACTTCATTCAGTGCAGGTTGGTGAAGAGCTGGGGGCCTCTATATCATAACTTAAAATGGATGTAAACCATGGATGGAACTCATAACTCAGGTTTCTGGGTTCATAATAGGGTGTGCTAGCAAATGCACCGCCACTCACCAGCTAATATGAATGCACACCCTCAATTAAAAACATTGTTATTTTAAATTATCCAAGAGTTAAACTCTAGCCATGATTGTTATGTTTCGACTCTTTCATTAAAAGGTTTACATATTTTAATTGGTTTATTACAATAATAACTTCAACTTGTAAGACACACAGTATTCCCACACTGTTCAATTAAGCAAACAATTCGGAGACCCAATTACCCATTGAGACAAGTGGGAAAGGCACCCAGGTGGTGAGCTGGCATCACATTCCACCCCAAGCTCTGTGGTTCTCTATATATTAAGGTGTTATTGTCCAAATAATGAGTATTTACAAGGAGGAAACTCACAAATGCAATAGGAAAATACTCCATCCTAGACAGAGTGAATAGCTAAAGTCAACATTAAATTTTCCACCTTCTCCTGGTAAGCCAGGGCATGGCACCTCGATGCCAATGGAAAGGGAATTTAGGAATATTTATACGATCCACAAACCCTCACCTCTACAGTGCTGACTGCATGCGTGCGCCACCACCACCTGGTTACATATACACTTTTAGTCTAATTGAAGACATCAAATCTTTCAATTGCAGCATGCTTTCAAAAACCTTTATTCATGCATGATTTATCATTCCCTTTTTAAAATCTGTACACAAGCGATATGCCACAGAAATCATCCCACAAGTTCATGTACGTGGACGACCTTGCCCTGCTCCAAAAAACCAACACCCTCAGTGAGATAGAGGCCACTCTAAACTCTTCTGACCTCAACTTCAAAAAGTGGCAACTGAGACCAAATTCAAGTAATCGATTGTCTAGTATCTCATCTCAACAGCGCTGATGCCACACTTAATGTGACCTGTGGGGACAAGATGCAACACGACCCAAGGCCGACCTACCTTGGCATCACACGTGACCACACACTGAGTTTTAATGAACACCTGAAAAAGGCTGCCAGCAAAACAAAGACAAGGGTCAACCTCATTCAAAACATTTCTGGTACGATTTTTAGACTTTACATTTTCGTGACTGCAGGAATTCATATGCTTGGTTCTTTCGGTAAAGTTGCGTAGGTCGAAAACAAAAATCTAAATTGAAAGCAAAAAACCCACGACGTTTCAATCGCAACACATGGGGTCTTTCTTCAAGTCTTCTTCAAGACCGCTTGTGTTGCGATCGAAACGTCGTGGGCTTTTTTGCGTTTCATTTAGATTTTTGTTTTCTATCTTCACGACTTTACCGAAAGAACCAAGAATAAATATTTCTGGTACGAGCTGGGGCCTCGGTGCTTCGAAGATCAGCCACTGCCCAAGCATGCTCAACTGCAGAAAATTGTGCCCCAGAGTGGTCAGAAAACCGCCACTATCGACTCATTTACACCAAATTGAACATACAGATGCGGAATAATATCACAATAACTTTAAAATCTATGCCACTGCCTTGGTTTCCTATACTGTCAAATATCACACAACCAGATATTCACCACAATGCTGCAGCACTCTGTACACTGCATTGATCAGAAACAGATGCAATCCTGCCAATCAATGATCATCTGAACAATATCCTGAGATTCAGAAAGCTGTTTTGGAAACATATCGAAAGTGCATCAAACAATTTGGGGGATTCAAGCAACGTGCCGAACAAAAGCCGAGTTAGCAAGCCCACTACCACACTTCTTGCCATGGGCAGTGTTTAACTGGTTTTGCACAAACCATGGAAGATGCAGATACCAAATGCACAAGTGGAAAATAAAGGCTGCCCTGTGTGTGTCTGTGGCTACAAACACCAAACCAGACCCCAGAAACTTCACACTGTGCAGGCGATGTGTGTCTGCAATTCACCAACTCTCAGACAAAGAAATTTAATGGCTAAATCACTCAGAACTGCATCTCAAATAGTTGCTCTTCATTGACTAGATTAAATCATCAACCTTACTGCTTTTGAAAAACCGTTGCCCAATGTTGGCCTATTAGACACGTGTATTATGATATGAAACGTTATACTGCGCATAAAGGCCTGGTTTAATTTCAAGCAGTTATTAAAATATCCTGCAATATGGAGTTTTGAAGATGATTGGTTTATTTTAGTCAATGCATGCAATAACTTTATCTCTTGATATGCAAAATCAACAGCAATTCTGTTTATACATTTACACTTGCTTCCACTGCTGGCAATGATGTTGAGATTGGTTTCAGTTTTTTTTTTATCTTTGTTATGTTAGGCATGGTCCCACTTATCTTAGTTCAGCATATATGTTTCCACAAGCTGGTCAGTTGCATCCAAAAATAACTCAAAAAAGGCATAAAATATTTATGGCTAAACAGTAAATATTTTCTCCAGCCCGTTTCATTACAGGTATTAGCTTCACGTGAAATTTCATGTTATTGTGATTATTATTTTGGAAAACGGCTTTTGGATTAAATTTATACTTTCACGACGTTGTTATTCAAAACAATATTCATTCTTGAAATTAATCCATTTAAATTTATTAATAAATCATATGTTTCATTAACCGGTGGCACAATGTTACAGAGATCTGGATAAATATTGGATAAAATCAGTTCAGTATGTTTTCTATTCTCGCCATTCTGATAACATAAGGCTACCATCAAGGCGTTATGTTTCACAGGTGTATAGTCTGCAGTAGTTTCTCAGTACGGGCTATTTTGCTTTGTGGTTTTACCCAATTAGGTGACATTAGTAATTCGAAAAATGTGACAAATTTAGACCGTGACATCAGCATATATGGCCTACTCTTTTTCGAATAAGGTCAAGGGCTGTTTGACATGCACCGTGAAGTAGACAGTGTAGAAATGTGTTGTTAATTACACCCGCAGTATTAGCCAGAGTTGCTGCTGGGCTTGACTATGAATTTCTGCAATGAGCAGCAAAAGCAGTACCGCTCAGTCCTGTCAAAACCCCAACAATGATGCTTGGTCCTGTTAATAAAGATGATACGAGTGTGAAAAGACATTTTCTCCGATTTGGCACAAAAATGGCCAAAACAGGCCATTCTTACTTTTTTTTACGGTAGAAATGCGAGACTCCCCACTTTGTAGTCAGCAAGGGAGTGCTCAGATTTGTATCCGGTTCTAGTGATTCAGAAGAGATTTTGGTCTGATTCTACATTCAGCCTTGGGGCGAGACATAAAATATAACATTAAATGAAGATTATTTATTTTCTTCCCACAAAAATGTGAAAGGGCCTCATTGCTTAAAAAGTACAATTTTATAGTTGGTTTCCCCAAGTTAAGAACGTTACACATTCAAAGACCACTGCTTATTTTTGACAAAACTGTATTCAATTGTCAACCAGATGGATGGCAGGTTAAGTCGACTCACAATTAGGATTTGAAGGTACAACCTCTCAACTGCGAGTTATGCACTAACCACCATTCCACCAGTAGAAACAAAATAGCTGGAGAGGCAGAAAAAAGCATGTGGTGAAAAGGTGGCAATGGACATCATGAATAAACACATCAGCAGCATTGTGCCATAAATTGTATAGAATACCTCACATAAGACAACAGTAGCACACAGTTGAGTATTATTCAGTTTAATTCAAAAGTTGTCATTACATCACTGTGCAGATTTTCCTTACAACTGCAGTGTGCCCATGGGCTGCTGTATTACTCTTCAATATACAGGCACTGTTAATAATATCACCCAGGATTGAGCTGCAAAGCCAAAAGGCTCCTTAGAAATATGTAACGAAATTGCTGACAATTTTTTTGTCATTACTAGCCATGATCTAGTGACTGCTGGATGAAGATCTTCCCAAATCACTGCCATCCCTCATGGTCACACAATACAATGATCCATCTAGTTACTGCCGATGTACATTTTGTTAGATCCATTTGGTTACCGCCGATGTTTGATTGGTGTATGCAAATTAACTTTTTGTCCATTTTTGTTTCCTCTCACAAGCATGTGCCTATATCTCCATTACCAATGGGGTAAATAGACGGGGCAGATTTGTCAACATAAGAACCAGATCCTAAATGGACTCTTGATATCTTTCGTAACCATGGCATCCAAATGAGTTCAATAACTTTTACACAAAATGTTTTTTCCCGACATGGAGTCCCTTTGTGCGGTAATGGATGGCAAAGCACAGTAAATGACAAGTATTAATCTTATCCGCAGTTCATATGTTTAATGTCAATGAGGCCTAGGCTTTATCTAGCATTGGATTGTGTTCATATATAACAACAGAAACAAACACTTTGAGAAGACCCATACACCATTACTCAGCAGGCAAGGAGGCACATGTGCCCAGGTGTAAAATAAAGATTATTTTCCTGTATCTAGTCTATTGTTTTAAACATATATTTATGCCACAACGTACCTTCCGCAGTGAACACTGGAGCAGGTCAGGCAAACCCAGGGGCTCTTGTTGGAGCGGCACACTGCGAACACAAACACAACGCATTTACCAAGCACCTTGCACACATACCTTCATGTATCTGCATAATGACACAAAAAAAATCTTAGTTGGTCTCTCCCGCCTCAAATGTGCAATGGGGTCGTCGCTCTTAGCTCTGGTATCAGCCTCAAATCGAGTGATGGAAATTCCTCATTCTAATGATGCTCATTACGTTCTGAGCCAGCTGGCTAGGATCGGGCAAAAGTTAGCCCACTTTTCACCCAAGCAACTGAAGAGAGCAGACTAAGTGTTTCTCACAAAACATTAAATATAACAAAAACATTAATATTCTTGGTTCTTTCGGTAAAGTCACGTAGAAGGGAAACAATAAAATAATAAAAATATAAAACAATAAAATTATCACGACGTTTCGACTGCAACACAAGCAATCATCATCAGGTGTGAAAAACACAGCAAGAACATTTGAAAAAAGTTGAAAAAAACTTTACCGAAAGAACCAAGAATATGAATCTCTGCAGTCACGAAAGCTTTAAATAAAAAAAATAAACATAAATCTTGATTTAAAGCTTTCGTGACTGCAGGAATTCAATCTCTGGGTATTTCGTTCAAGTCACGTGACTTGACCAAAAGATCCAAAGAGTATAACAACATATTTAAGAATCACAGTTAGGAGACAAACAACATTTGAGTTATAAACAATAATTAAATTAACGTTTTTTTACTTAATGATCCTCATACAGAAGGAAAATGTTGATTAAAGTAGTGTATAAACAGGATAGAGTGCTGCAACAGATCCAGCAGCCCCAGACTGTTCTCATAGCAGAAATAACAGAAACTGCTGGGCCAAGTGTTCGACGAGAAGTATGTTCAGGGTTCCTCTTCTGTAAGCGCGTTACATGCATGTTACATGCGTGTTAAACGCCAGGCACTCATGAAGCACTTGTGGACATGACGAGTCAATGCATGGAGAGGACGGACCTTCCACCATTCGCGAGGGATTACTCCAATAGGTCAGGCGAGTTACAGAAACCCCTCGCCATACAGCAACTCGATTGGCAACATTTTGCTGTAATGTAACTTATAAGTTAGGGTACAAATTTGACATACGTTATGTAAAATTCACATTTACAGAATTCTGAATCTCAATTATTTTTTTTTGGTGGGGGGAGTGTGGAAAAACGCATTTGTCCAAGCGTGCATTTGATATTGCTCTAGTTCGTTTGCGTGGGCTTTTAATACTGAACTGGTTTCCCCGTGCTCCTCGTGCCGCGCTTTGTGTTGATCATGCTTGGTACTATATCGTGCAGGATTTGAACTTTTTAAAACATTCTTACTTCACTAAACGTAAGCCAAGATGTCTGTAATGAGGCCATTAAGTGCAACAAAAGTGCAAAAATCACGTAAACGAAATCACACAAACCGAACCTGCACAAAGCGAGGGAAACCTGTAAACTAATACTGGGAATTCAATGCTGGTGTAGTGACATCGTTGCATGTCACTATGGCAAGCCGGCCTGGAAGAGGAACGATGTATTGACATCGCAGACACCACTGAAGGTGGATGCAGTGCCGGCCCTAGCGGGGCTCAGGGAGCACTGACTGGCAGAAATAGATGGCACCACGCGCTGCGTGCAGCGCCAGCCCCTACAGGATAGGCTACGAGGGTGCCGGCCTCGGAACGGGGTTTCAAGGGGCCATGGCACTCTGGTTGACTCCGGAAGACACGTGACAGGAGGTGTCTACCCGGGGACCCCCAAAGGGGGGCTGGGGTGATCACTGTCCAGTTGGAGATCCTCGAGGATTCGAAGTGGTCGTGGCTAGGGGCGGAGTGAGTCCCGCTACACAGACTATAAGCCGGGTCCCAGTGGGACCGGCTGAGGTTGTTCATCCCGAAGATTTCACGTCCACATTCCACGTTCTGCAGAGTCTCCAACACGAGGACCCGGACCCGAGCTGGGGTCCGGTCCGTTGTAGCTAGTTACGTGTGATTAGTGTAGATAGTACGCTATGGTGGTGGACCACTAGGCTATCTGGTGAAGGGGCAGGTACCCCTTCGTGTTAACGTGTTAATGTTAATAAATGCGTTGCCTCCAAGAGAACGTCTGAGTCTCCGTTTGAGCCCATGACACTGGTTTGAAAAACTAAAACTAGGTTGTGCATTTGCATAACAAATTAAAAAGACATGCACAAGAAATAATACAATAAGCTTAATTCAAAGTTTTGCATACTTAGAATTTGTCAAATTAAAGCAATACATTTTCCAACGGTGAAAGTGCTCTTATTTACATGGCATTTTCAAGCAACATTAATTTGGATTTTACTGCATTACATTGGACAACTACCAAGAGAATGCTACCACTGTCTACCCACCAGAGAGAACCACCATCAGCCCCACTAGGGGAGTGTTGCGAGCCTAATTGCCACGTCTTGATTACAATGGGGTCTGGTTTAATTCTAGCTGCTCGTCCTGTTACATCATCTGATGCCCCCCACTGCACCCTAGGCCAACGCACCCTTTACAGCCTACGCAGCGAGACTCAATGCATCTTGGGTACTTATATCAATACACTGCATTCGCCACACAATACAGTACATAACAATGTCGTTGCTTTACGAACAGGTCACAGAATCAAATGCTCCTACTTGCCAGGACAAGCTGTTCCAAGCCGATATTTTCAGCAAATGGAGTATTTCTACACCACAATAATTAACAGGCCTTTGCCAATGCACTGCTGAACATACTTTAATTCATGGAGCTTATTAAATTCTGAATAACAAAATTATTCGTGTAATTTTACAGTCGTAGAGCATTAAAGGGATGCAAAAATTACATTTGAAATATACAATAGTTTGGTTCATATTGTAAACTTCTCATTCTGTAGCATTTGCCTCGTTTCTGTGCATTCCTTACAGTGAGCTTTCACACTCATGATAAAATTGGCACCACCTGTTATGAGGACCTGATGGGACACACACGGTATGGCGTGCAGTCACGTAGCAGGGTTTCTTTGATACCTAGTGGGTTTCTTGGGTATCTCAAACAGATGTGCCAATAACTACTGCACATGCTCATACTGTGAAATGCCTCATCATGCGAAAGCCAGTTTGTGGGACGACATTCATTCATTAAGCGTTCTGTTCATTGGCAGGTCCGATGTAGAATAATCTCTGCCATAATTATCTGAATTCTGCTGCTCTCTTCATCTGTCTGCACGTCCTTCCTTGTTGAACATCATCAAGCATTTCCGTAAATTTTCTTCATAAAATCCCATCCATCAAAAATCCATTCTCTCACTACTACATACTCAATACAGATGTTTTTTTCCGCTTTCTGAGTTAATGCTCTTCTCCCACCCGATACCGCTCCTCATTCATTTTATTTTCTGTCCGTATTATTTTCATAACTATCCTTCAAATCCACATGTCAAACTTTCCAATCGTCGTCTTTATTTCTTATAGTCCAACGCATCCTTGGCCAATCCAGTTTCGACTGCTTCAGAACACCGTCCATTGGATGTGAAGATACCTCCGCAGAAATACTCTTTCACTTCTACCGTGATGCCTATAATATTCATTTATATACCTTATTTCCTTGACACTCTCATTACTTTGGTGATTTCCATTCCAAAATATTCTGCTGCTTCATTTAACTGTGTGACTAAAACTTGTTACCCTTCTGAATTTGCCAGGACTGCCTTGTCATCTTACTATACTCCAACCATGATTCCTTCCACCAAGTTTTCCCAAGCTTATTTTTTTATCAGTCTCTACATAGACGTTGCAACAAACGAAATTAGTTTATTTTTGGAAATAAATTACACAACATGTAAATCCCATCACCATGACCAGGTATATGTTCAGTTGAGAACGTATCAACCCTCTCTTGATCATGTCTAGTTTTACAACCTTCCAAATTGTTCTAAAATTCTTGCATTCCCATCTTAATTAACGTTCCTTTCTCTTTGCAGTTAGGATTTCACCAGATGAGAGTCCTCAATTCTTCCCCTGCCAGATGCAACTCCCCCAATATCCAGTTGCAAGGCTCCGTTTAAGTCGCTAATTCTAAATAAATGTTTGGCCTATTCCATACTCAGGTAAAAGTAGTTCAGGTGTTTTCCTCTTGACTTCCTCAACAATTGCAGTTTGTCATTCCCCAGGACTACATGATGAAAATATATACAACTAAAATGAAATACCACGCTCATGCCATTAGTGATAGTTATATAGCTGTAGAAAATGAAGCACTGTTGTTTAAGTTTCCTTCATCTACATTATTATTGTTCTCCGAGCTGCCTGTGGGCTGGCTTGGAGGTCTAACCAGGGTGCAGGATGGAGTGACGACGTTGCACATGCATCTGTGACCATGACAGAACACATCATGGGCTATCATTGTTCTGCTTAGCAAGAATACACATAGTGGAGTGAACGATGATGCCACAATCTCCCTCCCTACACCATGTTCGATTGCAATGACATGGGGATTTTTTATAGTGTAAAGCAAAACAAATATATATTTTTTTAAACCTTCTATTTATCAGGTGAGGGAACAGTGGCACAACAGCTATTGCACTCCACTATGAGTTCAATTTCCAGCCACTGGTAATATCAATGGGAAGTGATATCTGAAATGGTCCCAGCCCCATCCTTCATGGACTAGCATGGTTAAGTATGGGCAAACTCCCATGACCAACACAGGGTGGGATGATCCTTCATCCAATCGTGGATTAACTAAACACTGAACATCGTTCAATTCTTATAATTATTGTATGAAGTAAAGTACTCTACATGCCCAAACCATGTCCAAAACGTTTAATTATAATTGTCAAACTGTATCAAATTGTAAATAAAATTGAAACCAACTTTGTTTCAAACAATGAATCCTCCCCAGTCCAACAACAATCTGCCACCCCAGCCCCAGAGAGATGCTGCAGTGAGCACAGACAGGAGATGAACAGGGTACAGTGGACACCGCTCATGGAGACGCGACGTAGCGATGGACCACTGCCAGACAGTCTACGCGAGTGGGGCACGGCACGTTTATGTTTTACAACAACGAGGCGACCCCCATCGCCTGGCACCTTCTTGAGGCGTGCACCAAGGATAACATATCTCGGTAAATTACTGCAACCCTCACATGCAGTGCTATTGGTTCTCATGTCATTCTTGTGACAACGCTACCTTGTACTGTACCATCTCCCTTGCCAAAAGAAAAAAAACTTCACCTGCATATAATAGGTTGATGTGGAAGCAGGAAAAAAATGTAGTCACTAAGACAACCGAAAGTAATGACGATGAGCATGCACATATGGCAATCACTGATGTATACACACATCAAAAACTGTTCGAAGCTCAATAAATTGGGCTTGAGGCTATAAATATGACCACATTTAGCTGCTCAAGAAGTGTAGGTAATGCAGTGGACACAATGTTTACGCTCAGGAAACAAACTGATTTTGGAAATGGGAAATTGCTGCCATGAAGGGCTGGAAGTAGGCATCCAATAATTAAGACATACAAAATATTGAATCGTATAAAAATCGAGCTTCTGCTATTTTTAATTTCACTTTAACTGTAACAATTCTTCAAATAATTGTATGTACATTTGCAAGTATTCAAGTATAAAAACAACTTTTGTTGCATGTATATAAACTGTTTACCCTTACAGACATACAGTATATTCAACTCAGTAAAAAATGATAAAAGAATGGATGATTTTGAAATTCACTACAAATGTTATATGTCATAAAACAATGCAACACAACTGCATCTAAACAGGGAATCAAGGAACCATATTTTCATCTAGCTATGAAGCTTGCAACCAGAAAGCGCACGTTTCCTCTTAACAGGCCCATCACCTGTGTGCATGGCCCCAAGTATTTCCTCTTCGGCTAAGGTGAATTCCTCTGGCAATGCCTCCTCCGCATCCTTCAACAGAAAGGGTGTCAGTCAAACCTTATCTCCATGGCCAGTTTTCGCAGGACTAGAGGGTCTGAAACGTCCTTCCTGCTCCTCCTCTATAACATGACACCTTTGTTGCCAAAGTCATGTTTAAAAAGGCCTTCTCACTCTTTCGTATGTTCTATTCCCGGTGATGTCTCACTTATTTCCTCCTTATACATCTAAATCATCATTAAAAAAATATGTTATAGAAGGGAAAGTCAGGGAGGAAGACAGAGGAAGAGGAGACAAGGGGGCAGGAAGAGATTGAAAGGGCATGAAATGGAGATAAAAAAAAAGCCAACGAAAAGGAGAGTGAGGGAAATCGAGAAGCAGTGGGAGAGAAGTTTCTGAAGAGGCAAGAAAGATTGAGACGTGAAAGGGAGTAGTGGGAATAAGCAGTGACGATGAGAGGTGAAACAGGGAAGTAGGCGGAGGGAAGTGGGTAAGAGGGGACAGAGAAACGAGAAACAGATAAAATCAGAGACAAAACAAAATATCCAGATAAATTGGGATATACAGTGCAGAGAAATGTGGAGAGAGACAAGACTCTATGTGAGATTAAACTATTTTTCTGGCTGGCTGGGAAGGAAGGATGGACGGACGAACAGTCACGTCCAAAATAACGTTTGGGTTGCGAGTTCCAATTAAAAAAACCCTCATACTTAAATCGTACTTGATGCTCACCCGACGTCTCCATGAGCGACTGAAACTGGCCCGGATAGGGGCCATCCATTTAGTACGTACGCATGGAGGGGGGGTTAACACAAATGCGTAGCTTTCGTGTCGGGGGTCTACTGACAATGTACGTACGCATAGGAAACGGGGGGGGGGGTGAAGCCTCGATAATAATTATAATTTGTCTACATTGGCCTTCAAATTGGTTAGATTGTGCAAGGTGGACTATGGGTTTGCTTAAACACGTTAATATTATATTCTTGGTTCGTTCCGTAAAGTCACGTAGAAGGGAAACAATAAAAAAATATATAAAACAATAAAATTCTCACGACGTTTCGACTGCAACACAAGCAATCATCACCTGATGATGATTCTCACGACGTTTCGACTGCAACACAAGCAATCATCAACACAAGCAATCATCAACACAAACAATCATCATCAGGTGATGATTGCTTGTGTTGCAGTCGAAACATCATGATATTTTTTTTATTGTTTCCCTTCTACGTGACTTTACCGAAAGAACCAAGAATATGAATCCCTGCAGTCACGAAAGCTTTAAATCACGTTAATATTATTAATTCTAGATTTAAAGCTTTCGTGACTGCTAGGATCTATACTCTTTGGTTCTATTGGGTAAAGTCACGTAGGTAACAAAAAAATAGAACCAAAGAGTAATATTATTAATCTTTGATCGTTTCTGCGTGGATTAAATATCGGCCGTTCTATAGGCTTCGGGGGGGGGGGGGGGGTGGGGGTTCATCAGGCGTACGTACGCAGGTGGTGGTGGTGGTGGGAGTGTAAAAAGTGCGCGTGCGTACAGGGAGGGGTCAAGTTGTGACAGATTTTTGCGTAGCTACTCAACGGATGGCCCTAATCATCCCGTATTTGTTTACATTGTGCCGAGACATGCCCCCCACTGGACGTGCAGGGACGGTTACAAGCACGCTGGCAGGTCCACGCCGCCTTCACCCGACAGAACCCGGCTGGTCCACACCAGGAAACTGCAGCTCAGCTGTGCCATCGCCATCAAACCTTCACCCGCTGTTCTTGTTTGTGAATAAGCTTTACAAAACCAAAATATTATTGTTAAATCAGTGATTATATTTCATAATCGTAAATCACTTACGCTAATGTATCCTCCGTCTGTATTTATACGAGTCAATGTACAAAGTGAAAGAAGCATCCTTCAAGTGGGGGGTTGCATAAACCACCTTAAGGGAATATTCCCCTCGCAAATGCTTACCATTAATAATGGAGCAGAATTGTCCACGTAAAGCGTGTTGTGCAACGAACTCCCTCCCACATCCATCTCAAGCCACGTGTCTCCCCATTCGGTAATTGCCCTGGGAAAGGACGCAATACAACGCCCCCGGGACCTAGCGTCTCTCAAGACACGGGTCTCGGTCAACACAATCACAACACGGAGCAGAGCTCCATTGTGCTGCATCTTCACATCCAGTGTTCACGTAGCCCTCCGGCTTGCGTGGGAAGTAGACACACCACGAAACACGAACAGCTCACACACACACACCCATCGTTTAAACAATGTCCCCGCGCGATTGAATCTTGGTCCAAAAGAAGAATAAGATTTAAAATCACGGCCAGGCGCTGCTCCGTCAAGGCCTTGTGCTGACCTCACTCACCCCATTCACTGAAAACGCATCGGAGCAGTGACGTCCGAATCACGACGCGGGGTTATAAGTAACGTTACGATTCTCGTTTTAGATTTTACTCGGCTTCAAACGCGTGTCGGACTGCCATTAAAACGCACGCACAGCCTCGGCGTGTGATCTTACGGGAGCCTGTTTGCAGCTTTTCTCTGAGTGAACCCCACGAATAAACTCTTCCGTGAATGCCCGAGCCCCATCGCGCTCTTGATAACACGCCCCGAATCTCGCCAACTCGTATCCAGGAATCCCAGTCATATGCGCTGTGGCTCGGCGCGAATCGGCATTAAAACCTTCGGCAGCACAAAGCAGACAAAACGACGTGTCTCTCTCCCTCTCTCTCTCCCCAGCCATGGCCTATCCCGTCGCCGGCCGTGCCCCAACAAGCCGGCTGCTCCCCCACCACCACTCCCCCACTCCGGGGTGTAGGGCGAGGAGTGTAATGGGCACTTTGGCTCGGGGTGAGAGAGACACGCGGGTAGAAGCCCTCTGGGGGCTCTGCTGGGAGGCTCAGCACAGCCGCCGCTTTGCTTTGTCCGCGTTCCGCGCGGCATTTCACGGACAATGGCCCAGGCGATTAACAATGTAAAGTCCCTGGCAGTGCGGCCACCAGCGACGACAGTATTCGGTGATATTTGACTGGTTGCCGCCACCACCACCACCCCCCCCCACGTGAATGAAGAGCCACTGAGCAGGCTCTGTAGTTGCCGTCATTACGTGAGATGGCACTTCTTGCAGCAGCGAGGCTCTGTTGTTTTCATTACTCCTACACATCATTATTGCACGATGGCATTTCCTTACACGTGCTGTGTGACATCACTTCATCAATAACAGTGTTATGTTAATTTAACGTGCATTCATATTGCTCAATATTATTCGCGCGCCATACATTCACCGCTATAATACAGTATATTATTCCATGTATTATAGATGGTTTATTTTAAATCAGTGTACCGTTTCCTCTTACTGCTATGTGCTGCATATTGCGTATATTATCATTAGTTTACTGGCATGTCTTTACTCCTACATGCTAAAGTTAACGATCGTGATGAATCGTGTTTTCAAATACATGTATTGGAAAGTGTTAACATCTACTTTCCGTGTTTTTGCAGTGTCAAGCATTTCCCATGTAATTTGTATATACATATTCTCCGATGTAACTCTTTACTGCCCATGCTATCATGATTAACTAACCACGTTACCCCTGTTTTTACAGTGCCAGGCGCTCTACGTTACCTTACTGCCACGCCATGCCGATGTGATTGTACCCCCCCCCTCTCCTCTCCTGTGCTAACCCCGCTGCGTCTGAATGCCGCGTGTGGTTTGGCGCTTTTGCTCCTCCGTGCCCACGGGGACCCCCCCCGTGCCCACGGGGACCCCCCCCCCCCGTGCCCACGGGGACCCCCCCCCGTGCCCACGGGGACCCCCCCCCCCGTGCCCACGGGGACCCCCCCGTGCTCACGGGGACCCCCCCCGTGCCCACGGGGACCCCCCCCCGTGCCCACGGGGACCCCCCCGTGCCCACGGGGACCCCCCCCCGTGCCCACGGGGACCCCCCCACTCACCGTTGCAGCACCACGAGGAGGGGGAGCCGTGCGGGAAGCGCGCCCCCTCCACCCGGGCGCACGCGTCCCCGGACAGGTGCGGGCACTCCATGGCCGACACTCGCGGCCGTCTCGACGGTCCGCCCCGGTCACAACACAAGGAACCCGAGGCTAGGAAGAGGAGGAGGAGGGGGAGGGGGGGCGAAACGCCGCGCCGCTGCCTTCTTCTTTCTTCACGCACAAAGGAACAGGGTGTTCATCGCCGCCCCTGACCTCGCAACTCGGCCCAGCAAAAACAAAACAAATCCCGCCCGCCCGTCCGCCCAACGCACACCTAACCCGTAAAACTTTAGCACGATTCTGTTTGTCGCACAGGCGGCGGCGTTGTTGTTGTTGTTGTCCGTGTGTGGATTGTCAGGACGGGGCGCACGAGCAGGAACTCGGCAGCTACCGCTCGCCGCGACTGAGCCGTGAACCCCGCGAACCCGCGGTATTTGTAGTCACGTGGTTACGGCTTCCGCCCCAGCCGTCTCGCGTGACGATCCCGCGTGACGTCGCTTGTCGCGAGGGCTTCTGGGTGACGTCACCGGCGTGGGCACCGCCCGCCGAATCCGCCACGTGCGAGTCGGACGCGTCGAGTGGCGCGACTCGCGTGCTACGTGAATTCAGGTTCGCGTCTCAACCAGAGCGAGCGTGTTAACTGAGAACGAGGATTTTGATTTAAAGCTGTGTTAGATCGCGTAAATATGAATGCGTCGTTTAACCCACCACCACCACCACCCGATACAGTCAATAAATTGTACATCGAATTTTGGTGATTGGTGCCCAACGTCTGACATTGTATGCTGTGTGGAATGCTTCATAAGATACGTGGATTTTCATGGAATTTTTATATTTAGTTTTTCATAAAAGGCTTATGAAATCATAACTAATTATTAGTTTGTGACAACAATAATAAATTTTCTCCAAACATATACCAGCGCCGCTTTTGATAAAAGCCAAGTGCGCCCCTGTTTTTGTATTTTATCTTTTTGTTTTGCACACCATTACAGAATAATAATCCATAATCTATTCAGTTCATATATGTGTGACAATAGTTGGCTTTTGGACATTGAAATTTTTAAATAAATAAGTAGAATCACTTTTAATTTGAAGTCAGTGCAGTTTTAATTTGATGAATTTTGCTCGCACTTATAGTGAAAATTAGTGAACACCGACATCTCCCCTTCCGATCAATAATACTAACTGAGTGCAAATTAATTTTGGTAAAAGCGACCTGCTCACATTTTTTGCTAAAATGTGTGAATATTTGTGAACACTGACCTGTCCTTCCGGTTTATAGTTAATTTGTTTGTATTCACATCAATACAGAATCCAGAAGTCGAAACTTATCATAAATAAATAATTACTACAACAATTGCACATTTGTTACAAACGTAAGTCGAGAACTAAGTGTTTATATGTTTTATTCACTCTCACAGGATAGGACATTTTAAAGTTTGGAAAACCAATTTTTGATTGAAACATTTCATTTTACTTTCTTCCTGATAGAGAGGTAACTCAAACAGCTCTTCTAACATTTCCTCTTTAACATTTTTGTTTAAAAAACTAACCCCATCTTTTTTGTCGAAGACTAAAAATAAAACTCAATGTTTATTATATAAACATGCATTTTATTGTTTTTGCTATTACAAAATGTACATTGTTTATGTGTTCTATGTTTATTAAATTTTAATATAATATAAATATTGTGGCTATACACAAATTAAATTCTTCCTCAAATTTCACCAATAAATGTTTAAACAAATTATTTGGTGACACTGCTGTGACAGTGGTGCTACAAGCACAAACAGAAAACTCAACACATTTGTCTGCCTTTAAAGGAATAAATATATACGACGGTTTGGGCAATGGCCATTTTTTTTATTGCACGTAAATAAGTCAAACATTTTCAAAGTAATATTCTTGGTTCTTTCGGTAAAGTCACGTAGAAGGGAAACAATAAAATAAAAAAAATATAAAACAATAAAATTTTCACGACGTTTCGACTGCAACACAAGCAATCATCATCAGGCGTGACAACCATAACAAGAAAATTTGAAAAAAGTTTTCTTTTTTTACTTTACCGAAATAACCAAGAATATGAATCCCTGCAGTCACGAAAGCTTTAAATCAAAATTTTCAAAGTAAGTTGAAATTGTCTCCTAGAATGTTTAAAGGACGTTTGGAAAAATCTATCACCAAGGTGTTTACCAGTTAAAGTTGTTTAGATTCCATACACGTAGGCAGCAAATCATGCTATTTTTTACTGGCGGTAGTTAATCAACCCCAGCTCGGAATCGAATGTCAAGTATTCTCTTATGCAACTGATTTTAATCAGGCAAACGTGTTTTTACGTGGCAAGTATAGGGATGCCATGCATTAATGTTTCAGCAGGGGGCGCGCTGAGCACGAGGCGAGAAGGTCAATGGGCGGTCCAGTACAGGTAGTCCCCGACTTACGATATTTCGATCTTACGATGGCGATAGCGACATGATAAAATTGTAAAATGTTTTATTTCGCACGGCAGACAAACGCAGCAGCGTACTACGAGGTACGATACTGTACTTTATCATCGCCATCCTCCTCTTCCGACAACTAAGTTAATGTAGCCATCAACAACCTAACATCGTTCAAGTATGCAGACGACGGACAGAATTTTGGTGAGTACAGTAGAATATGATACGTTACGATACGTTCAATGCATGTATGATACATATATTATTATAATTTTAGTTTCTTATGTTTTATTTTTATTATTTCATTATTTCCCTTCTACGTGACTTTACCGAAAGAACCAAGAAGATGAATCCCTGCAGTCACGAATGCTTTAAATCGAAAAAATATGATACATAGCTTTAGCGATTTTAGGGTAACCACGATACGATACATACGTTCAATGAATGTTAAAAGTTTTGATAGCAGATAGGATTGTTTCCTGAAAAAACTTTCTATGAAATTGCAGTTCATATAGGTAGGTTAAGGATTTACCTTGTTTTTTTACTTTAAAATTTACTGTGCAATACAGTATTGTAATTAATAAACACATATAGTTTATACAGTACGGTACTGTAAATTGCTCTGTTTTGCTAAATTATCACAATTCTTTAAGACTCCTGGGTAGGCTAGGGCATTTTCGACTTACGATATTTTCGACTTACGATGGGGTCGTCGTAACGCATCTCCGTCGTAAGTCGGAGACTACCTGTATTTTGTTGATTGTTGTATTTGGAACAATCATTGTTGTACAGTCCCATTTAACCATTATTGGAATAGTGGTTACCGAGAGTTATTTTGTTTATCAATAACTGTGCACTACTGTTGTAACAGCTAGAATTTCGATAGCAATGTTTTATTGAGTTTATACGAGCAAACCGCGCATCCTTCCAAGCCAGCCAATCATAAACACTTTTAATCTTATATAGAGCACTGTCTCCACGCATCTCTTGCCTTCTCTGTACTCCATACCCAAATATATCTCGATTTCTCATTGTGTGTCTGTTTCTAACAGTTCCTCTACGGGGCCGTCCATAAATGACGTCACGCACTTGGGGGGGGGGGGGGGGCAGACATTTGTGACGATGTGTGACGAGGGGGGCGGGGGGTTGAGAAATGTGACGTGACATAAAATATAGACAACACGTTCCACTCAATTAAATATACGTTTTTAATAAATGTTTTCTCCTACAACATCAGAGTGCAGCGCCACATTAAATACTCACTACAATGACAATAGTTTAAAGCGATTTGAAGCATGTTTTATTTGGGGGGGGGGGCAGAGCTGTGTGACGTCATATTTGAGGGGGGGCGGTCTGACTTTTTGTTACGCCGTGTGACGAGGGGTGGGGGAGGAGTCAAAAATCGTCCAAAATCGCGTGACGTCATTTATGGACCGCCCGATATGATTTTATGTTTCACACGAGCAATTTAAGTACAATTTCGCAAAGGCGTAACCAAATGCGAAATGTGCACTGTTTTCGATAACTCAATAGTGGCAAGCACGGCGTTACATGTATGGCCGGGTCACCTTGACGAGAGCCGGGGGCGACCTCTCCATCGCCGCGGCCCCACGGGGAAGTGACCCCACGGGGAAGTGACCCCACGGGGAAGTGACCCCACGGGGAAGTGACCCCACGGGGAAGTGACCCCACGCAGTCACGGCCGTGACCCGCAACGCGCGATACACGCAATCGCTGCGATGGGAATCGCTGCACTGGGAATCGCGCGCGAACCCCTTCCCCACCCCCAACCCGCCCTGTCATCGCGCCTGCGATTCGCTGGCGTCACTTCGTCAATCACACCCCCCACACCCCCCCACAGCGCCGCAGCGATAACACGAATCGCTACTTGAATCGCTAATCGAGAATCGGTTACGTCGGGTTTCGTTCCGGCGAATCTAGAATCGTCGACCAGAACCCGCTACATACGAATCGCGAATCGCCGCACGCCTGCCGCAGTTTGCTGCAACTTGCCGCACCGACACCGTCCCATGGCCATGTCGCGCTCGCTCCACGCCTGCGAGCGGCTGTCCGTGCCGGCGCTGCGACAGCTGCTGCGGGACACGGACACGCTGCTGTTCGACTGCGACGGGGTGGTGTGGCGCGGCGCCGACGCGCTGCCGGGCGCCGCCGCCACGCTGAACGCGCTGCTCCGGACGCCGGGGAAGCGCGTCTTCTTCCTCACCAACAACAGCTCGGCGACGCGGCGCGGACACGCCGACAAGCTGCGGCGCCTCGGCGTGCGCCTGCCCGGTGGGGACGAGCCGCAGCGTAGCGTGTACGGCACGGCGCACTGCGCGCCTCTCTTCCTGCTGCAGCAGCAGCAGGAGCAGCAGCAGCAGGAGCAGCAGGAGCAGCAGCAGCAGCGGCCGTACAAGGTGGTGCTCCATTCACTGACGTTCGGCGGACTGGTCCACTTTTGTGAATGACGCTTGCGAGAGTGGGGTGTGTGTTTTGACAGCCGCGTGTGAGTTAAACGTTCACGTGTGTTCGCCTCAGTGGTGCTTTGACAGCCGTGTGAGTTAAACGTTCACGTGTGTTCGCCTCAGCGGTGTGCTTTGACAGCCGTGTGAGTTAAACGTTCACGTGTGTTCGCCTCAGCGGTGTGCTTTGACAGCCGTGTGAGTTAAACGTTCACGTGTGTTCGCCTCAGCGGTGTTTTGACAACCGTGTGTGTTAAACGTTCACGTGTGTTCGCCTCAGCGGTGTGCTTTGACAGCCGTGTGTGTTAAACGTTCACGTGTGTTCGCCTCAGCTCAGCGGTGCTTTGACAGCCGTGTGTGTTAAACGTTCACGTGTGTTCGCCTCAGCGGTGTGCTTTGACAGCCGTGTGTGTTAAATGTTCACGTGTGTTCGCCTCAGCGGTGTGCTTTGACAGCCGTGTGTGAGTTAAACGTTCACGTGTGTTCGCCTCAGCGGTGTGCTTTGACAGCCGTGTGTGAGTTAAACGTTCACGTGTGTTCGCCTCAGCGGTGTTTTTTGACAGCAGTGTGAGTTAAACGTTCACGTGTGTTCGCCTCAGCGGTGTTTTGACAGCCATGTGAGTTAAACGTTCACGTGTGTTCGCCTCAGCGAGGGGGTGTGGATTCAAGGTGTTATGCTGAACCTCGCTCGATGTTTGCGGGCGGTGTTCACTCGAACAGTAACTTATTATTAGCGCTCCTATGGCACGATCATGGTGGTGGTGCATTGTCGGCTCGCGTTTAACGCCTTCAAAGTAAGAGCGCTTTGAAAAGTTGAACAGCTCTCCGTTGTGAGTGCTGCACTGCAGGCATGACGATGTGCGAACCAAGTGAGGGTGTGGTGGTTATCATTGGGAGAGCAGCCGCCGTGACCACAGCCACTGGCCGTGACCACAGCCACTGGTCCATAGACCACAGCCACTGGCCGTGATCACAGCCACTGGCCATGATCACAGCCACTGGTCGTGATCACAGCCACCGGCCGTAATCACAGCCACTGGTCCATAGACCACAGCCACTGGCTGTGATCACGGCCAGTGGCTGCGGTTACGGTCAGTGGCTGTGATCACAGCCACTGACCACAGCCACTGGCCGTAATCACAGCCACTGGCCGTGACCACAGCCATTGGCCGTAATCACAGCCACTGGCCGTGACCGCAGCCACTGGCCGTGATCACAGCCACTGGCCGTGATCGCAGCCGCTGGCCGTGACCGCAGCCGCTGGCCGTGACCACAGCCGCTGGCCGTAATCGCAGCCACTGGTCGTAACCGCAGCCACTGGCCGTAACCACAGCCACTGGCCGTAACCACAGCCACTGGCCACTGGCCGTAACCACAGCCATTGGCCACTGGCCGTAACCACAGCCACTGGCCGTAACCACAGCCATTGGCCGTAACCACAGCCATTGGCCGTAACCACAGCCATTGGCCGTAACCACAGCCATTGGCCGTAACCACAGCCATTGGCCGTAACCACAGCCATTGGCCGTAACCACAGCCATTGGCCGTAACCACAGCCATTGGCCGTAACCACAGCCATTGGCCGTAACCACAGCCATTGGCCGTAACCACAGCCATTGGCCGTAACCACAGCCATTGGCCGTAACCACAGCCATTGGCCGTAACCACAGCCATTGGCCGTAACCACAGCCATTGGCCGTAACCACAGCCATTGGCCGTAACCACAGCCATTGGCCGTAACCACAGCCATTGGCCGTGTGCGGTCGCCTCCAACGCAGAGACGGATTCGTGTGCGTGCCGGGAGACGCCCCCCCCCTCCCATGTGGGTGGCCACAGGTTTACTTATGTAACCGTGCTGTCATATGCAGGTTAGAACGACGCGAAGTTAATCTCTCTAGTTAAGTTGTATCTCTCTCAAAATCCGGATTGTTTGCGAATCCTTTGGTATCTGCTGATAACGAGAACATCTTATCTGGTCTCGCCTGTTTCGCCGACAAGAAGATGACGAGCCCGACGCATTGTTGGTCGGCTTTGTTGGTGGCAGAGGGGGGGGATGTGAGATGATGGGACTCATTTGGGGTATAGTGAGTCACCAGCGTGTGCACATTTTTTTTGGACCGCGTTCCATTAGATATGCGGATTATCTCGGTGATGAGTTTTCTAATTGCGTGGAAAGTAATTTTCGCGTTTTGACAATTGGCACGTTATGAATGATTCATTATGAAGATTCTGAATTGAGTAGCCCTTTTGAAAACACTATGCCCCGATAGTAAGTGTATTTCTGCAATCCTTTATGCGTCAACGGAGCTCTGTGGAATGTTAACTGCTGCTTTTAAAAATAGTTACGACGTCAAATGTGTCAAAGCCAACACCTCGCATGTGTTACCCGCATCACCTCTATGAAAAACGACACGTGTAAACGAGGGATCCACAGCAAACCTACGCGTGTGTGTCTCTGAAAGCATCCACGATGCTGTACAAGTAGTTAGCGGACGTCAAGTCTTGCTTTAAGGCCACCTTGTTGTGTGCTAGACAGCACATTACAGATGTGGTAATGTGAGAGAGGTTGTGTCCTATATGAATATAAAACGCCTTGCCATATAATATACGCTGGTGATACGCCTGAGAAGCGTCGCCCTACCTGACCTCCGTAAACCAATCATAACACTATGTAACACAATTTTAGTTTCTGGGTGCTAAGTGTTATTTTTTAATTGCTAATGCCTAAAAAGTATAGAAAATGGCTATTATTCCCCACAAACTTTGCTTTTGTGACCAGGACTTGATGTGAACAAAAGACACAAATGCACACATTTTTCATTGAAAATAGGTAAATTTCAAAATATCACTGTCCTGGTCACAAAAGCAAAGTTTGTGGGGAATAGTACCAATTTTCTGTACTTTTGAGGCATAAGCAGTTAGGAAATAACACTTACTACTCAAGATTTGTTTTTGTTACACTGTTATTAATGGAGTGGATTATTAACTTTGCTTTTGTGTCCTGGTCGCAAAAGCAAAGTTTGTGGGGAATAATAGCCATTTTCTGTACCTTTGAGGCATAAGCAATTAGGAAATAACACTACCCAGGAACAAAAATTTGTTGTTACACAGTGAGCTGTAATTGTTGAAAAACGTCATCATAAAATAATAGTGCAGGCTGGAAAATAACACGCAAAAATGTGTTATATGCGTTCAGCCTTGATTTGAGGCTTTCGTGACTGCAAGAATCCATACTCTTTGGTTCTTCGGTAAAGTCACGTAGTTAGAAATGCTGTACAAGTAGTATGTGAATTTACCGAAAGAACCAAAGTGTATGCGTTCAGCCGTTGAATATTTAAAAACCAGCAGCATTTCCTGAAAAGGTGCATTATAGTTTTCTTGTCTTAATTCACCATCCACATGAATTTCAGCGGATGTGACCTACTGACAGGCAGCTGTAAGAATGTGCTAGACAACTATGGACTGGTTTTGTTATAATTAGGACTCATCAGCACAATTTAGTCACCAATGCTCATATGCGGAGGCCCATTTCCACACTTTGCGAACAATAATCACCCCGAACTCTCAATGTCCTGATAGTGCATTGTCTTTGTGCTGTTCGCCTTTTGGCGTCCTCTGGTCTAACACTTGTTTGAGACTTGGCTCTAAAGAAAGCTGTCTCTGGTGTGGACCAATCCGTTTCAAAGACAATGCATGTACTGTCAGAGCATGTTTTTTTTTGTTTGCATGTTCACCTGAAAGGGAACAATGAGTACTTATTACACGTTGTCAATCTCCACAGAAACTTTTGAATGCTTTTGAATGACCGTTAAAACGCGAATGACTCATTCCACCTTAAACAGTGTGTCATCTGAAATTGTCAATCACAAACCAAACACACCTTTCAAGCCTGTAAGACCGGTTTGAACTTTCCCCCACCCCCGCACCAGCATGATGAAACATAGCCAAACAATCCTCAGTGTGGGAAAGGCTTTCATTCATCCAGAACTGTATTGACAAATACCTCTAAATGAGTATTACTACTCATAAATACAGAAGTCACCTTCATCTAGAATAAACTTCTGTAATGAAAAACAAGTAAAGTAGTTAAGTATAATCATGTTACACGTCTCTTGTCAATAGCGCTATTGCAAGTGTTGTAAAATCGAAGTGTCTTTCTGCTCAGACCAGTGTGGGGGAGGGTACTTATCTTCTTGCAAGACCGTGAGCCTGCGATAAAAATGCCACATTTTTATGATGTGGTGCCAGGTTCTCCAGTGAATGAGCATTGTTGAGATTTCAGAATATGGGATGCATATTATTAACTTCAAGGGACACTCATTTTTATACACAAGCAGACATATGGAGGCATGCAATTGAGGAGAGGAAACACAAAAACATCAACACATTTGCACATAAAACAGAAACCCCAACTTATTTTATCTCTGGAAAATCAACAAACTGCAGGAGGCTTTCATAGGGTAACTCCTATCAGTTAATTAAATGGATAACAGTAGCCTTGCTTGACCCCTTTTTTCGAAGTTATTAAATGATAAAATCTGCCTTTATCCTCTGGCCAGGTCGTTTTAATGACTCTACAAACAAGAACTGCACACTCATGTTGTGTGCAATGCAGGCTGTGTAATCCAGATTGCGTACATGTGAAAAGAGTTGTGCACTTTGAACGTGACATGTATTGAAGCAGAGCATGCCTGCACTAGGCAATGGTTTATTGCAGGTGGCACAGCCGTGCGTCGGCTGGATGCTTGTTGGTGCAGTCCTGAGTACAAAACGTTTGCCTACTCATCGAGCCTGAGTACAGTGGTGTATACGATGCAGACGTGGCACAGCTGGCAGCCACTCTCTCCGTGCAAAGTCACTTGATGGCACTGCGAAAATATGCTTAAAGATGTGAAAGAAGCTGATGCCCTGTAAAGTCACAGCTTTACAGCCACCAATACGAACACATAAAAAAA